TGAGAAGGATTGGAATCTCGCGGTATATCGACACTTCTCGCGTATCGTGAGATGTTGCGTACTCGCCACTATAAATTTATACGCGCCTGTTAGTAAATATCCGGTCGAACAGCGTGTATTGCAAGATAATCATTTCTGACTTGTTTGTTGTTAGGTTTAGTTTGTTTTAGCATCTTTGATGAATATTTTGTTTTAATTCGCAAAGATATCACGATTCCTTCTGAGTATGTCATATTGAGGACCTCTCTCAAGCTGGAAAATAAACTTTGATAGTCGTTTACATTTGGCAGTTGCCGAAAATTATCGTAATTATGTTGTTGTTTTTCTTGTGATCTTAATTTGAGTAGCCCAACACATCTTTAGGATACTAGTAATAGCTGTATAAGATAACCCCAAAGAGAAGGTCAAAACAATTATTTATTTTCGCAGCTTGTCTTTGTCCTTTCTTCTAGTATATGAAACTGACCCAACTACCACAAGAGGTTGTTAAAAATAAGTTCATGATTATAAACAACAGTAAAATAGAAACTGAAATGATATGGAGTAAATGTACATGTACATAGAACTAAATCGCACCCAATACATAGAAAACATAGAAAATTATCAATGAACATGGCTTTTATTCCTGTTCTTCATCTTGACAGTTGATGTAGGGTCTTCAACAATGAATGTATCATTCATATCCTAAAATCAATGGTTGTACCCATGGCAAGTACAAGTAAATTTCCCTTGTGAAAAACATTAGTAACACAAGCAACTAATAGCATTTTACGAATAACTTTGATGGGTTATCTGCTTATTGTGTCATACACCCTACTCATATTGATAATTTGTTTCACATTTTTCACGTTGTGGCCTTTTAGAGACAACTATACAATATGGGTTTTTCTCATTGTTGAAGGCTGTACAGTTGCCTATAATTGCTTACATCCACTTCATTTGAATTTGATGGATAGTTGTCTCATTGGCATTCATACATCTCCTTATTTTTATATTGGTAAAGATTTGACATTTTTTATTAGCATTAAGAGCATATATAAGTGGACAATCATTTCATTTTTAGGGGGTAAGGCAGGAGGATTTCTCTTGGACAGATTATTCACAAATAGTCAATATTATTTCATTTTTATCTGTTGCTCAGATTGTTTATGTCACATAGCTTCATTTTCACTTTTTTACATAATTTTACATGCTTAATGTGAGGCAGAAATGCAGCAGCTTATTCATTTTCATCTTGAACGGGCAACATTATTTCTTCTACTTATTCTCACCAAGCTAAAATATTCATTCCAACATCACCCCACCTTCATCCCATTGACCCAATAAATCCATTGGTTATCCACTTTCGAAAAGTACCTACATTGTACCTAGAAAACCTATCTTAGTGAGAACTGACCTGTCTTCGTTTACATCCTTGTCCTTTGATCTCCTGATAGTTGTCTTAATAGCAATCGTACCACATCTCCTTATTTTTATACCCACATGAAATATTTTTAAACATTCCTTATGAACCAAGCATGAAAGACCAAAAAATGGAACATTGTTACAAACTAAACTATCTGGGAACACCCAACCACAGAAATGCTGGTACCCGCTATGACATGTATGAAGACATGTATTCTGGATGTCTTGTAATAAAAGAAGTTTGTTCTTGCTAACAAATTTTATTAACACACAAAGCAATATTAAAACATGTTAATTTTCCAAGTCCTTTTTTAATTCCATTCATGACACTATTTGAATAAATATATAGTCACTGGTTGGATTTTACATATTGATAATGGTGATTTCATACTCTGGTTAACTTCCGTTTTAAGTTTGTCACAGGAGCTGACACAATTTGTATTTGAATTTTTGGAACATAAAGTATCCTCTGCGACGTGTACATCATAGAAAATACATTCTACAAATGTATGTCTTCTAGAGGCTTGGTTTGATGCCTTTCCCTGTATTGCATGCAGTATGAGTGATCATTTTGTAAGTCAGAATATGGTGTTATTTCTTGCACTTTCACCACAAAGAAACATATCTCCTTTCTTTAACTTTGGTATCCTGAAAATAACAAACATTTTTTTTTGTAAGACTAAAATACATAAAATATAATTAGGGTTTCCCTGACATTTTCCATATTGTAAAATTATAATATTAATCCATTTAATTTCAAAGCAAAAAAAAATAAAACATTACATGTAAAACAAAATACACCTGCCTACGAATAAGAATCTAAAAATTACATTTTGTGGCAGTACTAGTACTAGTGCTGAAAGCTGTCAGAGCTGGCTAGAATTCAACTAAGAATTTCTGTAAAAAATATTAAGAGATGTGGCACACTGGTATGATTCTTGCACAAATTCTGAATATAATGATTTTAAAGTAATTCTGGTATCAGTATTATTTTATATATATAATAATGTAGTTACCTGATTATTATCCACAGCCATAATCAACTATTGTCTTCAGAGAGAAGTACTATTAGAACACAAAATATCTTTTACATCTGAAAGTAAAAAACTTAATGCAAATATGATGTTAAACAATTATACACAGTAACTGAAATTTTATTACTTATGTATCAAGAGTAAGCTACTCTCCTAGCCGTCCATATATAAAAGTTAAATAATTATTTTTTATCAAATAACATTTAGAGAATTTTGCAGTAATTTAAAAAAGAATAATTGGGCACTCGTCACTGCTGGGTTATGTATAATCTGTTACTGTTTAAACCATGTAAACAGATGTAATTTACATGTTCACTATAATAATGCTGGGATATGTATTTTATTGAAATTAATCCAGTTATCGTGGGTTTTATGGTATACATATATATATATGTGTGAACATTAACAAAGTAACACGTGTACAGTTCATAATACATCACAAAAATAATAAAATACAAGACATGAATTTATGTAGAATGTGGAGTCTGGTCAGAAAAAGTTCAGAATTTTAAAGTCCGCATTGGCACATTATGCATCCTATACAAGTACATAACCGGTTGATTGTATTGGGGTAACAAGGATTAATTATGTACTTTAGTAGACATGTATCCATCCCAAGAATATCAAATGTTTGACCATGACAACATAAAATTTTTGACTATTTTGGTATTTCTTTATATTTCAAATGATGAACCCCGACGCCCAAGAGTCCTGACAATACATGTATGAAGAGTTTTTAGTAGTGAGCTGAGAGTTTATAACTGCTCCTTGATGAAGTGCCTAATTTTACTTTCAAATTCTCCATACATGTACAAGTGAATGGACCGTTCTTTTCTTTTTGGTTTTTGTTTATGAGTGTTAAGAAATTTTTTGTTTTGTGGAACACTTTTTGACAACAAAGCCTGAAAAATAGTCTTTCATAAAATTTCTTTTTATTCATTTGGGCAGTTAGAAAAATTATACTGGTCTGGGACGAGCGCTTGTGATTTATCCTGAAGACGTCAATATATATTTTTTATTTCATTAACTGAATTAGTCGCACTGAAGTCGTACCCTTATCCCCCACACTTTTAAGCACATACATGCATATACACATATACAAATGTAACTATCTCCTGTTATCTTTGGTACAGGCCTGAGGTATACCAAAAAATTGGAGAGATAGACAGTCTTAATATATGATAGTAAGAACACGCCTTTAACTTGTAAATTAATAGTGTCCCTATATTTTCACTTTATACTACTGCCAAAATATGCCATCACCTATGACAGTAGCCTATGTGCATGACTGTATGATTGATATACTCAGTTGATGTGGTGAACGTAAGCAGGGTTCTGTAAACCCTTGAAGGCATAAAGGTATTTCCCAGTACATTTTCATATCAATTCTAAAGGAAAAAACAATACCTTTTGGTGTAAATGTCCATGAAACGACAGATGCAAACTATGTATTCTACTGTAAACATTTTTCATCACGTTCGAGGGACTACAGGAAGTTTATTTATGTTAATTTGGTCCCGCCCATTATAACGACTTTTGGATGCATCTAGTAACCGTAGCGGTATTTTGAAAATATGATAATATCACACGTTATCATTTTGCAAGCCAAATGTTTTAGAAAGTACAACAAATAAACTATGATAAATTGATATAATTACGTTTTAGTGTTGAAATCGACCGATTGTGGCACTTTATTGATATTTTATCAGTCCACCCTTTTTTGCACTGACGCGGGACGATTTTTGACGGTTGGTCTGAAATAACCATTAAAATAACAACAACGAAAGCTCCTTACACTATATAGTTTATAATATGCACGCACCACACACATTTATTTCATATAATTCAAGTTTCTGAACACAATTCCGTATTATGAAGGAGGAGATTGAGATTAAAGTTGTGGTTTGGACCGCCTATTTGGGCGGGATTATTACAATGACCAATAGATAAAATGCATAGTATATTTAGATGCAGACAATGTGTTTTGTAAAGATATAAACTGTTTTTTTAATCAGAACTGTCATAAACTTACACTTAAAAGTATCACATCATGTAATTTTGTTATAGTATACTTACAAAACGTCGAGTTTATCTGGAAACGACATAAATTCAACTTGTAATGGTGGACGAAAAACGACTAACGAGATGCATCACGGTAAATCTCGCAAAATCTCATCATACGCAGCTTATTTCAATACAGGCAATGCAAATAGTTCACGAGATTCCAATCCTTCTCACTATACAAATCCTTGATATAACCTTATAAATGGAACACTACCATGATAAAAAAAATATTGGGTACGAGTTGGTAAAAATAGGGTTCGAGTTGGTTGAGTACGAGTTGACATGTCTCCGTCCGAGTTGACTTATTGACGATCCGAGTTGTCTTTTTTGATAATTCAGTATGCCTGGTTATTTGGGTGGACTGAATTAAAATTTCCATTAACTAACAGGCCGAAAGAGATAACTTAATTTTTCGAGAATATCTCAACACAAATAGCGATAATGTGTACTGTTCCCCCCAGCTTTTCGGAATAATACCGTTATATGTCCGAGATTGACTCAGAAGTTTATATTTTAACTTCAACCAAAAATAAAAATCCTGAAGGTGAACCCACCGGCACATGTGAGATCCTAGATCTAGGCTACTTAAAGTTACATCTATGGTATTTTTCAAACTGGTCCGATTACTGAAATGAACATGTTTAATGGGTGTCACAAATTCTCAAGATCAATCTCCTGCTAGGGATGTCAAACCTCCCATACGTACAGTTCCCATTATTTATTATTGAGAGTATTTACATTGTGTTTAGTATACATCTCGAATCGCCGAAATGATCTTAAAACACCTATGTTCCGTTGGAATGCACCCAAATTTCCATTGAATGAACCCTCTAGAAATATAAAAAAAAGACATGTATGATGTAGGCTTGTAGCAGTTAATCAGGCTGGACAATGGGCCTTATCTTACCTTACCTCTGTATCTTTAACCCCCTTTGTAGAGGAACCATACGCTAGTATGTAGAACTTGTGATCCGCAATTTCTATGCACAGTGATGCCTCCACCAATATGTTGCAGTGCTCTATATTTACAGTGAAATCCTACCCACACACACTTATATTAAAAATCCTTTGTTTTATAATTAAAATGTTTCTGTGCCTATCATACATGTCATACGGTGGTTAAAAATCAGTCACTATAAAAATATAAAATTCCTTTCTTATCGCTATTTGAAAATCTGCGACACTTGACCCGAGAATTTGCGACATTTTAACTTTTGACGTCATACAACAATAATTTTTCCTTTGTGGCTTCAGACATTTTCTCTTGTGAAGTCAAAATTTTACAGGAACCTACCTCTGTGATGTAGAGTAATGGCAGACAATTAGTGATAAGGTGTATTGTCTATTGACAAATGGGGAATAGTTCCCCAAATGAATAACTATTTCTCAATGAGGGATACCTTTCTCAATTTTTTAATCCACATTTTTACTTGAAATGGCACATATTTATGAAAAATGCAGTAGGTTTCTTTAAAGATGTATCAAATTTATTCGTTCATTGTACATGTTGTATGTTCAATTCAGGTAGGGTGAAGGTTGGCGCCTATTAAAACATTTAAACCCACTGCATTTGTTTGCACCTATCCTAAGTCAGGGCTGAGGCTCCGTGTTGAAGGCCGTACTTTGACCTATGATGATTTACTTTTACAAATTGTGACTTGGATGGAGAGTTGTCTCATTGGCACTCATACCACATCTGTTTTCCAGAAAAAGCTACAAGCCTGTGAAAATATAATTTGAAAATTTTCAAGTCGACCAGCTTATTCATGTTATTTAAAACCCAAAATGAAAATATGGTTCTTTCAGGAAAATAATTCCATTTTCTATTACTTTGTACCATTTAAAAAAAATCATGTTTGCACTATCAAAAGAGAGGCAAAAGATACCAATTAGTGCAAAATGGCCATTAAAAATCCCCAATCTCATTGAATTTTGAAATGACCAAAATTATTTCTGTAAAAGAAATATTTCATGATCTAGGTAAATCCCAATCTGCCATTTCGGTCAAACACGTTTCAGTTTAGGTCATGTCCGACAAAAATTACCATTGCCTGACCCTTGCCATGGGTACTACATGTATAAGAAATCCTTAATTAAAGGAAAATGGATAATACCATTGCAAAAACGAAAAGACAACCAACAATCTACAAAACATTACATAAAAAAACTAGAGTTATCTACCTTCTTTATAGCTACATAAGAAAATTGCATGCAGGCTGCAAAAATAATTTGTCTGATTTCCTATGAGTATTGTTCTGAATATAAATGACATATTTTCTTAAATTATAGAGTCTTTATCATTTCTAGGGTATTTAGGCAGTATATATTAGGGATTTCAGTACATGTCAACATTCCAATCAACATTCATTGAATTTCTCTTCAATGATTTCGACTGTCAAACATGTAACACAAACATCTATCATCAGTAGAAATGGTAGCAGACGATATGGAAAATTGAGGACCCAAGATATCTATAAAGAAGGATTAAACACATGTCTTTCAACTTACTAACAATTTTTTAAAACTGTAAAATGTCAATAATCTTTTCATTCCAAATTTTAAAATTTGAGTTACCCAACACCCTTTTTAAGCTGGGTGGATTTCAAGGTCCCTTGGATGGATTTAACATAATTAGACCTGATGTGATGAAGTTTCAAATACAAGAAAACGTACACAGAAAATACTCAATCATTAACATCAAGGTAGTGGTTTTAAAAACTCATCCATGATATCAGAATTATAATTTAATATCCCAGACACTGTTTTGTCTACACTCATTATTGCACTCTATAATCAAAACAGAAGCCAAATCAATTACAAATTTATGAGCATTGGAAAACAAAAATATCCCAGTGAATAAAGTTTCAAGGTTAACATAACAGGTTGACTGTACAAGGCCAGGATCTGACTTGAGCACTGGTCCAATGGCCCAGGCCAGTAAAAGTTGTTTTAAACTGGCCCTACATGTATGTATCAGTAAATTTATGATCAAATTTTGTAGCTTCAAATTAAGAGGAGCAGGTAAATTTTAGGCAATAAGCTAAGATATTAATTTTAACTGACCCTACTGGTCAGGTTAATGTTCGTTCTTATGACGACCCCTGTAGGTTCTATATTTAAATGGGATATAAGATGATGTAACTGAAGAGCCCTGGAGGTTCAATATGGAAATGGGATATAACTGGCTACCCTGGATGATCAGAACCTGGGATAAGTTGAAGTCACATTTGGACTATTTGTTTTATTCAGGTGTAATTGAAAGATTCTTATTCACATAACATAATGGAGTACTTTTTCATTATATTAAAATGATAATATGCAATATAAATATTTTTTTCAGATTGAAACACTGTTAAAATGAATTGCAAACAGCTTTTTACACTCAGATCAGCCATTGGTATCCAAGATATACTAGCCAAAATTCAGTTAAAGAACAATATCAGCATTTGGTCCTTGACATGTCATCATGATGGAACAATAATGAGGCAAAAACACAATTGTTGTTACATGACAGATTCTAGATTAAATTGTTCATTAAGTAATAATACAACAGTGTTCAAGTCAGGTTCAGTTTTGAATTTTAGTGATATTTTTTATCAACAAAACAGGCAGAAAGGACATAGCCATTGGCAGAATATTAAACACACCAAAGGTGAACAGGATGCCTTAAGAGGAAAGGAAACACAAATGTTAACGTTAAGGATAAAAAATGCTCTCAAAGGTATTTATTTCTAATATAAGGTTATTAAAATTGTGATGTCAGTTTTGTACTAAATATTTGAAGGTACATGTAGGGCTCAAATATTGAGAAGAGAGTAACATAGGCCTTATAAAATTATACTTGTGTTTCCGTTAACATGCGTAAAAAAAATTTTGCATTGGTAGGTAGGCAAATAATGCGTTTATTTTTTAACAGTTTTTGACTCCTTTAAACAGTGGAAACTGTCTGTCATTAATAGTGCTTGTTGAAAGATGACAAAAAAAAATACTATAGGGTAGGTAGGGTTAGCCAAGTATACACAAAACAAGGAATTATTTGAAATTGGAATAATTTTGAATTCTGAAAAATTGATTAGAAATGTATGATGAAAACTAACCCAACTAAATACGGTTAGCCATGCATGCATGCATGGCAAAGGGGGGTTAGTTAGTTCATAATGAAATATATTAGTGAAAGTAAAATTAACCTTAGACATGTGCTCAGGTCTAACCCTAATTAGTTAGGTTAGTTTTCATTATTTTCTAATCAATTTTCCAGAATTTAAAATTATTCCAGATTCAAATAATTCCTTGTTACAAGTATAATTCATTGTTATTAGGGCCCCATAAATATATTTTATTTTGCATTTTTTCCCTTATGGAGCAATTTAATGTTTTTCCACATGTCTTGAAAACATAAACCCATTTAAAATGTCTAAACAACCAGAAATAAAATTTCTAAAAACAGATTATTAAATTTTCTAATTTATAAATATGTAAATTTTGTAGTATTTTTTGTTTAACTCATTATCTTTAGATCATGAAGATTGACTTAATACATGTAATAACTAGCTTACTACATGTTCTGTAGTGAATTGTCTAGAGTTCTATTTTGCTTTTGGAGAAGATTTTTTTTGCTTGTAAATATTACGGTATTTGTTCCTGACAGAATAAAGAGTATAAATAAAATATGTGTTCCAACAGGAACAGATATTATAGTACTGTTTATAACAAAGTTTCCAGAGAAACTTCAGTTAGGAATTAAACATATTCATTGAAAGGTCATGGGTTCAATCCAAAGACCTGAAAATTGGTATTAATTTGATGCTTGTCTTCTAATCAGGCAGCAATTAGGAGTAAGAACAATGACTGGTTGGTTCTGAGTCAGAATAATGCTGGTGTCTGGGTAGGGTGACATGTCTTCCTACTGACTGTTAGCTTGTCAGTTTAGTACTTATAACACAATGCAGACATCTTATACGTTCAGGTATTTCACATCCAATTTTTTAAGGTAATATTCTTTACAAAGCACAAAAATGTCGGTATTCACCTCAAAAGCTAACCAAACCTTTAAACAGACTTATTCAGAAGGGATATAGTTACGATACTGTTGTCAGGTCATTAAGGATTGCATATTTTGGTATTAATATTGATTCACTCGTAGGGTCTTTGCATCGGAAATAAACACATTTATTCTAAAACCAGTTGTTGGCATGATACGGGTTATGTTCTTCTCATATATTTTATGATGGTATGATACTAAACCCCAAACGGGAGGGATGTTTAAAGACATAATCTTTCAATCAGTTTAATTGAGGTCTGGAGCTGGCATGTCAGTAACTGCTAGTTGTCCTTTGTTAATTTATGTATCATTGTCATTTTGCTTAGTTTCTTTTATTACCTATTCTGACATCGGACTCTGACTTCTTTTTAATGAGTTTTATTGTGCGTATTGCTGTGTGTTTCTTTATTCTACATTGGCTAGAGGTATAGGGGAGGGTTGAGATCTCTCAAAACATGTTTAACCCCGCCACATTTTTGCGTCTGTCCCAAGTCAGGAGCCTCTGGCTTTTGTTAGTTTTGTATTTTTTTTAATTTTAGTTCATTTATATGTTTTGGAGTTTAGTATGACGTCCATTTTCACTGAACTAGTACACATTTTTATTTAGGGGCCAGCTGAGGCCCACCTCCGGGTGCGGGATTTTCTCGCTGCGTTGAAGACCCATTGGTGGCCTTCGGTTGTTATCTGCTCTTTGGTCAGGTTGTTGTCTCTTTGACATATTCCCCATTTCCATCCTCAATTTTATCCTTTCCTGATGTGAATATTATATTTGCCAATGGACACGAAAAGCAAATTCATCATCATATATTATAAGTGTGAACCGTGGTATATTTCAGATAATGCCTCTACAGATCCTAAAGTGAACAATGAATTGGGAAGATGTATTGATTCTGGTAAACAGAAAAACATTGCAATGGACACCATTCTGAGGATAATCCGTAACACAGTAAATATATTAATGCCAATGTTTTTAATATCTGCACAAAATGTAATTTTTGGCCGTATTTTTTTGTCATTTTGATTTGACAATTTTTGCATGAGTTGTAGGACTTGACCATTTTTAAGCTGGCTAATTTGGCTCCATGTTACCACTCATGAATTTTGAAATAAAGGAATATGATAAGACCATAGATATGTTAATGACTTGCATAAAAAACAAAACACCATTTGAATAATCTACCACACACCTTTCAGGTGTTTGCCCTTAAATAAAAAAAAAGTTTTGAAATCACTCTGATCAACTGATTTTTAGATAAGTTAATTGATTGATTGTAGGTGTTTGACACCCCTTACAGTACACTTGGCTATATTTTGACAGCCATATTTTGTTGGAGGGAGCTAGAGAACCCAGAGAGAACCATAGACCTTTGTCAGGAAATTCTCAGAGCTACTATGGCAACTTTTTGGACAGAATAATTTATAAATGTACCAACTCATTTTAAACTTTGCCTTTTGGAAAGTAAATCTTCAGAAAGGCAAAGTCTAACACAAACAAGGAATAGACCCCTTAAATAAAAATAAAATAATACAGTTATGGTAAACTTACCACTGATACAAATTAAACTATGTTTTGTTGTCTCTTTGACATATTCCCCATTTCCATTCTCAATTTTATTAATAACAAAGTGTATTAAATTCCAAATACAAATATGACAAATGTTGATGATTTTATCTTCAGGCATCAAAGAATGAAAGTTCGCGGGAGGAGATAATAGAATGTACCGGTGCTGGTGGGTTGAAGTTTATTATACAAGCTTTTACTGATCTTCCAAAGAGAACCAGACCAGATATTCAAGCCAGACTTAAAAAATTTGGGTAAGTAACGTTATTATTTGTTTGACTTATTAACCATTATGTATCTGCATCAGATGTCTTCTTTCAGGATATCAATAATACCCATGCACACAATGTTATCAGTACATTATCATAAAGGATTAAGATCAGTAAGGGCCCTATTTAGCCCCAAATATTAATCCAATTGTTTCAAGTTGATGGATAGACATATAAGAAAGTGAAATAGAACTATTTTTACCGATCTTTTCTAACAAAGCATTGACAATTACGCCCCAAATAGGCCAAAAACCAAGATTTTGGTGAAAGTTGACATCAGTCAGATTTATACCACATTTAAGTCTAGGAAACATAGAGCCCACTGTCTGAGAAACTAAATATTCAAATTTCAAATTTTCTTGCTTTCCTTTGATTTCATTATTGTGATGTCATGTAGAAGGTGACCATGTCTGATGACTTCACATAGAAAGAACATCTTTTGCAGATCATATAAATAGAAAGATTCATTTGAGTTAATATTGTCAAAATATCACTAGAGAAACAGCTTCCACCACAGTTTCTCCTATGATACAAAATATCACTAGAGAAACAGCTTCCACCACGGTATCTCCTATGATACAAAATATCACTAGAGAAACAGCTTCCACCACGGTATCTCCTATGATACAAAATATCACTAGAGAAACAGCTTCCACTAGGGTATCTCCTATGATACAAAATATCACTAGAGAAACAGCTTCCACCACGGTATCTCCTATGATACAAAATATCACTATAGAAACAGCTTCCACCACGGTATCTCCTATGATACAAAATATCACTAGAGAAACAGCTTCCACCATAGTATCTCCTATGATACAATATTTCTACTCTCGACAAATTAAATTTCCACTATTTATTTAACTTTTATTAAAGGAGATGGTACAATCTATATATATATATATACATGGTATGACAATAGGGATCTCACTAGGATATTTTTCAGCAAGTCCTGGGTCTCATCATTTTTTGCAGTGGTTAGTCCAAGCTGATTTTGATGAGTTCATTTCAGTAAAGTAACATAAAATTACAAATGGAAATTGATTAAAAACTTAGTTTATGTGTGAGGGGAGATCTATCTTTTTGTACTCATTTAAGGCGTTATAATAATTTATGTAGAATTAATAAGATGTTGATGCACATCACAATTGGACAGTGGTTTGTGTGCATCATAAAATTGCTGTCTATGATGAATATTGATATTGTTATATATATATACTTAATTTTGTTTTATTGTATTTGAGTTGTCTCCCCTTGACTATGGTTGTTATTTACTTTGTAATTCTGTCCAACATGTCCTGTCTGACCCCTAAATGTTAATGATCTCTGGTGGCCTCTCCTGGTGCCTTTCATGTTTGACCTCATATTATGGACAGAGATACATGTGGTAAGAGGAGGAGGCCAATGCCATGATTAACTTTTCCTACGTATTCATGCAATTTATTCTGAGTGATAAAAGATGAGTATGATCTAGTAGATAATTACCATATTTGCATAAATGTAGGGTACTTACCATTTTAGCTTAAGACTGCTATAGAAAAATTTAATATTAATACTTATATTATGTGTATATCTATGTATCTCAATGCTTGAAGTTCTTTCAGATAAAATAAAAAATTACAAAAAAACATAAAATTACAAATAGTGAAAACAATAAATACTTTTCTAATTCAATAATTAATTGATACAACAATTGTTTTTTTGTTTCTAGGGCAACAATAGATAAACAAGGGACAGCTACACGTGGTTTTGAGAGAAAAGGTTTTGTAGATGTTGAGCTTGGTGAAGAAGACAGTAGAAACCACGATGATCATATAGAGTTAGCTATTGAAGCTGAGGCTGATGATGTCTCCATGGAAACCAGAGAGGAAGGAATAGATGTACTACAGGTAGGAACACCTTACTCGTGTAACTACATTCAAAATGATAATAACACTTTATAAATTTTATGTGTCTGAAGTAATTTTCTGGATTTATTTCATCGTGGGTCTCATTGGGGTCTAAGCATGACCCGGGATTGCCGTTTTTTTGTAAGCGTGACAAGTGAAAGTCAAATTATTGTGCCGTGAAAAAGGGAAATGAAGTCTAGCGGGTCACAGGAAATTACAAAAAAAATGAGAATTGCTTACATACATAGTGTAAGCGGGATACGGGAATCTGACAAAACAGTAAGCGGGATCTGGGATCAGAACCCCCCAATGAGACCCCCTTCATCAGGAACTGCTCAAAGCCAAATATTTGAAAGCAAACAGATGTATAAGATCCTGAACAACTGAAGAGCTATTACTGAAAGGGACTTAAGAATAAAGTATAGAACTTTATTAGGCCAAATCCATCTAAGGTGAACTTTGCCTGAGGGAGTTGGAACATTAGTTTCTTAACAATTTCTTAATATATAAACGGATACTAAAAATCTTATTATAAATAGTATTCTATTATAGCATTAAACACATATTTCCATTAAGTTCATTGAATTGTGAACAGGATCAATTCACTCACAAATGAATTAAAGTCCAAAGTTTGTTAGTGACATACTTGTCTATAAACTGGTTATTTTTCTTGTATTAGTTTTGACTTCTGTTCTATCTGTAAATTCTAATTATAACAAGTGTTCAGTAGATGTTTTGTATGCAAGTAGGTTTAAAGATACAGACATATATTGTTGATACTACATATTAATTCATTATGATTGACCTCAAAAGATTACTACATCCTTAACTTGTTAACATTAGTGAATGACTGTTAGAATTTACAGCACTGTGTAACTTGTAAACATCAGTGAATGACTGTTAGAATTTACAGCACTGTGTAACTTGTCAACATCAGTGAATGACTGTTAGAACTTACAGTAATGTGTAACTTGTTAACATCAGTGAATGACTGTTAGAACTTACAGCACTGTGAAGCTTGTCAACATTAGTGAATGACTGTTAGAACTTACAGTAATGTGTAACTTGTTAACATTAGTGAATGACTGTTAGAACTTACAGCACTGTAAAGCTTGTCAACATTAGTGAATGACTGTTAGAACTTACAGCACTGTGTAGCTTGTTAACATCAGTGAATGACTGTTAGAACTTACAGCACTGTGTAGCTTGTTAACATCAGTGAATGACTGTTAGAACTTACAGTACTGTGTAACTTGTTAACATCAGTGAATGACTGTTAAAACTTTCAGTACTGTGTAACGTGTCAACATCAGTGAATGACTATTAGAACTTACAGCACTGTGTAACTTGTTAACATCAGTGAATGACTGTTAGAACTTACAGCACTGTTTAACTTTTTAACATCAGTGAATGACTGTTAGAACTTACAGCATTGTGTAACTTGTTATACTTAACATCAGTGAATGACTGTTAGAACTTTCAGTACTGTGTAATAAAGACAAAGCAACTATTACATACATTCAAACTCTATCAAGAACTTATAGATTTCATTCAAGCTAAAAAAAACCTAAAAAACACTATGATCTCAAATTTAATGACTTTACATGTATACTATTAATAACATGGGACTCTACCAAAACGATTTCACAGGCGTTGGTTCACCACACGGAATTTAATTTATTAATAACATTGTATATTATCTTCAGTTCCAGTGTAATTATTTAGTGGTGAATCAAGTGAGGAAATATTTAGAATCTAAAGGATTGAATGTAGTTTATGCTGAGTCAGTATTTATACCAATACCAACATCAACTGTTCAAATGAATTCAGATAACATGGAAAAACTGTACAAACTTATAGATAAAGTCAAGGAAGTAGAGGGCGTTGAAGAAGTATTTATTAATGCAGAACCTGAAAGTTGATGTTTGTTTAAAAATAAAACTTGTTTATAACTGTGTCTCTAATATTGATTTCCTTTCTCTATGCCCTTGTGAAATTTATTACCAAATCAAAAGATGGCAGAAAATAGCCTAGTGATTTTAGCCTTCATTATATTAACGAGTTTAGAAATTAGAAAAAGAATATTTTGCTCCATTCTTCTTTTTTGCACCTTTTAAAACATGTCTGTTACAGTTCACAGAAACCTCAGGTCATTCCTACCTGTGTATTTTTACATGACATATTTTGTGTGCAGGGAGAACCATTAAGGGGTACTTTCAAGGGGTTAGGAAAAGAATAAATTTACTACCTGATCAATCAGGCGGAGTTGAAATATTCTTATACATTCAACAATACAAATGTCTTTTTAAATGCAAAAGTGTCACTTGATCAACAGCTATCAAAGAATTCCATTCAAGCTCCAGCTAGGGACTGTCTAAATTGCAGTTAGGTATGAGCCTTCCCTGCTTGTCAAAGACCGAAATGTGACTTTGAGATGAAGAACAGCAATAAATCACTGTTTCTTTGCTTTTGGTTTTCTTGAATGTGTGTTGAGATTTAGTGTCATTAGTTAATATGCCTTATCTTATCATTTCTGTATTTTATTTTTGAGTTCAAGTGACATTAACTGGTTTATTTTCCAGCAGTAAAATTTGGCAATAAATATTAACATTGCTATTCAAGGGTCAAGATATAGTGAGACCATAATTACTGTTATAGTTATAACTGAGTGAAAGCTATGTACACATCATGGGAATCATTGCAGTTGAAATCTATAATAGCCACTATGATTGTAACATGGTGAATCGAATGGTTGGAGACATATTGGATCAGACAGCAAATAGATAAAATGACCAGTACCATACCGGATGCAGGATATCGCAGGACGTTTTAAGGATTCTTTTCCGGTGGTTCGTATTTGGTAGGATGTGTAGTTTTATCATGTATATGTTAGCGGCAATAAGTGAAATTAGGCATTAAGCTTAAAACCTAGGCAATAGGCTAACGCCTAGGCATTAAGTTATTGCCTGAAATCTGATGAAGATTATTCAACCTATTGCCGAACATCATTTCAGGCAATAAGTTAAACTTGGGAATTTTGTTGTATATTCCAAATACATGTACATTCGGTGAAATATTCTTTATGTTTAATATTTTAAAAATCATATTCCAAAAATTGATATACATTCATTTAAATTATCTTTAATTGTTCGTATTCAAAGCAGAACTTATTCGTATTTCTTTGCGGTATTGCAAAAATAGTTGTTTTAAACAAGTAATTGTGTCTAATAGAAAAGGGGGGAATTGAAGATTCTGTCTGAAAGTTATTTCAAGAAAATTCGCTCTAAACTAATCGACCCGGTTTGAACTGGTCACAAATAGACAACTGTAAATATAAATTTTTGCCAGTCACATTATTTTTCAATCGGTTTTGTTGAATGTGTAAATTTTCTTAAATACCCATTTAGTATTTTTCAATTCTTAATCTGGATTATTAGCATTTAAGCAAGAACAACTTTCTTGAATCGTTGCAGAATATAAATGTGAATCTGGGAAAACAAAGATCATATACCCAAGGCAAAAGTACAACGATCATTTGGCAAAAATTAAAAGTAAAAGCTTTAGACTATTACAACTAAAAATTGTTTTTAACATTAGAGTTTTGAAAGACTGGTTACCATATGTAGTTACTAAAGTAAACAAGAATGATGAGGAAAATTTTAAAGTTTATGTTTTTTCTAGAGGTTTTCTAGGTATTTTGGTAAAACACAAAGAACAAGAATGTGTCCATAGTACACGGATGCCCCACTCGCACTATCATTTCCTATGTTCAGTGGACCGTGAAATTAGGGTCAAAACTCTAATTTGTCATTAAGATTAGAATGATCATATCATCGGGAACATGTGTACTAAGTTTCAAGTTGATTGGACTTCAACTTCATCAAAAACTACCTTGACCAAAAACTTTAACCTGAAGCGGGCACTATCATTTTCTATGTTCAGGGGACCGTAAAATTGGGGTCAAAACTCTTAATTTGTCATTAAAATTAGAAAGATCACATCATAGGGAACATGTGTACTAAGTTTCAAGTTGATTGGACTTCAACTTCATCAAAAACTACCTTGACCAAAAACTTTAACCTGAAGCGGGACAGAGGGATGAACGTATGAACGAATGAACAAAACTCTAATTTGGCATTAAAATTAGAAAGATCCTATCATAGGGAACATGTGTACTAAGTTTCAAGTTGATTGGACTTCAACTTCATCAAAAACTACCATGACCAAAAACTGAAACCTGAAAAGGGAGAGACGGACGGACAAACGAACGAACGAACGGACACACAGACTGGAAAACATAATGCCCCTAGGTGGGGCATAAAGAGGTCATAGTAGCCTATTATCATTGTAGATCGTATAATAAAGAAAACAACTAATAATGGCTTTGCAAACCATTCCATGATTCCATTGTACTTTTTCTTCCGTTTTGTTAAAATTATAAAAGCGCAAAGGGAAGGGATAGAACTAAAACCCATTTTATCTAAAGAGTTATACAAAAGAGGACGGGTTGTTTTAATGGATTTTTAATCAAAAACAGATGGAAACTATATTGTCTTATGGTGAACCAAGATCACACAACAAAATTTTATGTTGTTAGAGCTCTTACGTCAACAAAGTGCTTTTCAAAGGTGGCTTCTAATTTAATTGTTGTTTTCACAATATTTGGTATGCAATAAACAGCAAAGTGATAAAGGTCGTGAATTTCTAGCTTTGGTTATATCAGAATTAATACTAATAACCAGTACATTTCCATACATTAAAATAAAGAGATGTCGTATGCTTGCCAATGAAACAACTATCCAACAAATTAACATATATTTTACAGGTTTATTCAATGAATTTTGTTATCAATATTTTACTTATGATTTTATTTCAGGTAATTGACATTTAAAAATTTCAGTTCTTATTATTTAATTATGTACCAAATGTATTTTAACTTTGAATACATTTCTTTTTATTTACTCTCATTTTCGTATTAGACATTTACATTAATGCCTGGACATAATTTTCAGGATTTAAGTTTAAATCCTAGGATTTAAGACTAATGCCTAACATCATTTAGGCAATTGGCTTACTGCCTTGGCGTTAGCTTATTGCCTAGGATTTAAGCTTAATGCCTAATTTTACTTATTGCCGCTAACATTATATAAATAACACATAGCTGAGAGGGTGATAGAGCAGATTGTTACCCCGAGAAAACATTGTCAACTAAGGCGAAGCCAAGGTTGACAATGTCTTTTCGAGGGGTAACAATCTGCTCTATCACCCTCTCAGATATGTTATTTAATTTATTATACTGACTGTTCTGTTATTACTGTCTATTAAATTTCAAATTCAAAGTAATAAACTATGTCGTCTTGTACATAACAATCATCCATATTTATTAAAGCGCACACTTGAGCAAGCGTCTCCGTGAAGGGTAATAGAGTATTTGCCATGGGATAGAGTAAATTGTCTCCCTCGTATTAACCAATCAAAACCTGGCATTTTGACATGAAGTATAATAAATATAACATATAGAATGGCTTGAAAATATGTTCATCTGAGAAGGAATCAAATGACTTCATAGTGTAATTTTCACACAAATGTGATGCTCTTATTTTCACATGTTAAAAGTAAAATTTAATTTGGTTGATAGAACATGCATTGAATCATTTGATTGATGCAAGTTGTACATACTTGTCTGACAGGAATCCTTTATCCTTGACCTGTTTTTATGGTTCATTGATTAGTGTTATAATTTTGGCCCTGTCCAGGTCAACACAGCTCCTTAAAATTGCTGGGTATGAGTCCAGCTTAGCAGATAGTTTAAGTTTAAGACTTTTTACCTGCATAGGTCGACCAGTTAATTTAAACAAAATTTTTTTTTTGAAATACTATGGCTTTTCTACCTCGGGAATAGATTACCTTAGCTGTATTTGGCAAAACTTTTAGGAATTTTGGGTCCTCAATGCTCTTCAACTTAATACTTTATTTGGCCTTTTTAACATTTTTTTTTATTGAGCGTCACTGATGAGTCTTTTTTAGATGAAATGTGTGTCTGCCGTACAAAATTTCAATCCTGGTATATATCTATGATGAGTTTATTTAATTTTTTTTTTTTGTATAATCTTGAAAATAAATTGGACAGAGAAACTTGAAAAAGCAAAATGGAAAAAGTAAATTAAATTTCCCTTCCTCTTAAGAACCATCAAAATATTAACCATAAATGAAACTATTTCTATATCTAGATTTGCAATTTTTTTCAATTTTGCTGTTTGCAGTTTCTGTATTTTGACAGATTTGCTTAATCACTTATAAGGGTTTGGGTCAAAATTTTGTAAGTTCAATGGGCATAACTATATAAATACTCAATGGACTGAAATACTCTACTCAAATATGCATCTGCATATAAGGATCTAACAGTGTAACAATTTTAATGTAGATATGATAAACCATGAAGTAGGAGTTATGATGACAAGGTAGGTTCTGGTCAAAGCCAAAACTTTCCATGTTCAAAAAGGCAAGTCTTTGGGAAATCTCAAAAGTCAGGAGCATGCTATCCATATACAGATCTGTTTATTAGGATCTCACAAAATAAGTCTCTTGTAAATACAATGTTGGAGGAGTTGTGATGACAAGGTTAGTGCTGGACAGTCAAACTTTCCAAGTTGAAAGGGCATAACACTATCAAAACTCAATGGACAGGAAAATCCAACCCACATGGATCACATGATGCATTGATGATGCACATCTGCATAATAGGATCTAATAATGTTCTAAGTTCATATAGATACAATAAACATATAGATATTGCAATGAGAAGGTCACTTCTGGAAAGGATAAAGGTTTTTAAGGTGAAAGGGGCATAATTCTGGATAAAAGAAACAGAATAAAAAATCCTACATACATGCACATCTGCATAATAGGATCTAACAATGTACTAAGCTTTTTATAAGTTAAGATGAAACATCAAGTAGGAGTTGCAATGTCAAAATAGGTTCTGAAAAGTTTCAACAATCAGCATTTCTAAGGTGAAAGGGGCATAATTCTGAATGATCTCAATGGATTTGACATTTACTAATCAAGATTTATGTCTGTAAATTTTTCTTAAAAATTAGAGTTGTTTATGTGCCTGAATGATAATCTTTGTTCCATTTGACACACTCTTTTTGAAATTAAACACAACACATGGACAATTAAAAACAAGTCAAGACATGTGCATATCATTGATTTATTCACCAATTTCGCAAAATAATTAACAATAACAAAACTAAAAATAAATATAAATCATTATTTTTTGTATGATGTTGTTAATTTACAGTAATATATATTCTTATTTGTTTTCTGCTCATTTATAAAAGACACTACATTTAAAATTTACCTAACCACCAACAAACAAGTTAAATAAACAACATCACACAACAATACACTATATCACAGCACCATTTTACTTTATTTCAAGGAATGTTTAAAAGACAGGAATGTATCTTTTAAACATTCAAGATTTCATGCTTAAAAAGAAACAAATAAAATAACAAGAAATAATTTACAGAAAAAAAGCATTCTCAAATGGCAGAGGCTGGTATTTCAGGAGGAATAAAGTTGTTTGCAGAGCATATTAAAGAAACCTTTTAAATGAGAATTCATAAGACATAACAGTAAACTCCCAACTTGCTAATGCATTTGGTCTACAGGCTATACACATATGTTATAACAAGTACCCTTACTTTAAAAAATAATTCACAGAAGCCACAATTTAACATCAGATGTATGTAATAAAGCAACAGCATATAGATATCCCAAATAAATACCCATGTTATAGCCAGAGTATTTACATGTGATTCATAGTCTCCATATTTACCCAACAGAAATGTTACAAATAGCACAGAATAAATATATATTATCAAATGCAAAACAAACAGCACAAAATAAATATATATTATCAAATGCAAAACAAATAGCACAAAATAAATATATATTATCAAATGCAAAACAAATAGCACAAAATAAATATATAATATTTAAATTTAAAAGTTATGTATTGATTCAGTTACAGAGTGCTATTGTTTTTATACACATCAAGTGTGAAATTAATTACTTTTAAAACAAAATAATTCTTATATGATTTGCATCTTGGGGAATACGTTGATATGATTGGTTTAGAGAACTTCTGGAAGTTGTTCTTGACGTTTATTTTTCGATAGACGACGTTGACCAAACTTCTTTTCGTAACAAATGTAAACAAGATGGCGGCGATAATAACACAATCTGGCTCGACGTTGACCACATTTATTTTCACTTAGCGTTTATCGTTAAATTAAATAATAAACACAAAACATTCATTTGAATGATAATAAGAGTTTTTGAAGTTTATATTTTATCAGATAGCAAATTTCATGGAATACATATTTTTGCGTTAACCAACAAATATATTCGTGCGCGAGGCTAATTCAATGACACAAATATACAATTTATGTGTGAAAGAAATTACGAGTGTAGAAAAATAAATTCCTTATCTCCAATTTTAAAGAATTATAAGGATTAAATGCCTTTTTAAAGGAATTTATTGGTGTATAAACTGGACCAAGTCACTCACAAACATATCATAAAAGTCCTGTGGACTTTTATTTGTTTGTGAGTGAATTGGTCGAGTTTTTGTTTGTGAGTGAATTGGTCGAGTTTATACACCAATAAATTCCTTAAAAAAGGCGTTTAATCCTATAATAATTACATTACATGTGTGTTTCATAAGGATTCTATTTCATGTATATAAATCCTATGGTATTTTATTTCCAAAATAAAGGAAATATCAATAACTGTTTCAAATGGCATGATTCATAACATACTTAAAATTATCCATGATAAATTAAGAAATTATTAAAAAACTAAGTTTCCAACTCCCTCAGGAAAAGTTGACCTTGGACAAATTTAGCTGTTCTTTTTAGGTACTTTTGTAAACAAAATGCTCATCTGGCGTAGAACATTTTAATTCTGGTATCTGATGAGTTTATTTTATCAGTGATATAGCTCCTAACATTTGCACATACTTTTACATCCCCTGTCTTTTAAATGTTTAGGTCTGAGCATTCCTGATGGAGGTCAATCCAGAAAAGGTTATGAGCACACCAAATTTATAAAGTGATATTTTCATTTTCTCTCCATTACAAGGTTACAACAATGTGTTGGAATACTTAAAACAAAAACAAAAAGCTTGACTTTATTTGTAATTGCCTGTTTTTACCATTACTTTTTCTGTCACAAATTTGACACCCAATTAAAACTACTAAAAGAAACATTTGATTTTTAACTAAATTACCATATTTCATTATTTCATAAGAATGAATTCAAACAATTAATGTGATTATGATGTAATACAGCGAATTTTAAAGTGTTTTTATAAAATAATATCAAGTAGAGGTTTGTTTGGTCAAAAAAATATCCAGTAATTACAGATCTGGTATGGACAATATCCAGTATCCACTGTTTTATAACATTTTAAGCATTCAATGTTTTAAAGAAAATAAACCATATCCCATAAATATCACCCAAAACTTTTAAAATGATTCCTTAATACATTGCAAAATTTACATAAAGCGAAAAAAAAAAAACAATACAATGTGGAAATAGCTTATACTTTACATGTTTGCTAACAATTTATAATAGAAATTCTTTATTTAAAGAGGATAATAAACGAAGTAAATGATACAATTTATTGTAAAGTAGGATTTTGTGATAAGGATAAAATGGCCAAAATATACAATTACTTAAATATGATCTTTTATAGACAATCAAAATCAAAAATCAAAATCAAAAAGACGAAATAAAACCTTGTAAAAGGTTTGAAAATAGAATTTGTAAAATTTTAACTTCACAAAAATAAACCACTTTACTGAGACTCTGATGAAATGCAATGAATATAAATTATAACAGGCAAAGGAATATATATTAATTAATGAAATATTAAATATCAGAAAAATCTGAGGAGAAATTTTATTACATGTTCAGTGTATAAAGTTAAAAATGATTAATAAACACAGAATTGACATATTTCATAGGGTTTAGTCTATAGCAAGAATGACAAATACGCATATAATATTAACAACTTCTTTGTGTGAAATAAACTTGTAACAGAGATTGTTTTAGATTAGTACATACAGAAGCTTTAGAATATATGAGAGTTTCTTAACACCTCTGTTTTAGGACCTCAACAAATACACAAAGTATGAAATATGAAAGACACAATAAAAATATCAAAATATGTCATTGTAACAAAAATAAGTTTGTAAGCCTTGTATTACCCTGGGACTAATACATGATCCAATTATCTATAGGTTCCAGTATCATCTTCAGTAGCAATTTCGACCAAATAATTCAAAAAGTGTCTCGCCTGCGACTGATGCTGTCTGTTTAAAAGTGTGTTATGTATTGACTTAGATAAAAATATATGTTCAATTATCAGTTAAATGCAGAATCAAAATGCAATCATCCCTATAATATGAACCTAATGAATGATCACTATCATCTTTGACATCATGAAAGGAGTACATCCAATAAGTGTAGAGTTATCTCCCTTTCTATGTAGGTATTTTGAGGTTCATGATACTTTGTACTTCCATGTTATCTATTTATTTTTTGTTGTTTTGTTTTGTCCACTTCTCTGAAATATTTCACTTTCTAAAATAATATCAATAACCGAGAAACTAAATGATTTCCATGAACTCAACTGTGTGAGATACTAGAAAGGACAGCTCTGAAACTATGGGAGACAACTCATATATGGTGAAAAAGTATAAACAAATAAAATGGATAAATTCAAAAAGTAAGCATTATATATCAACCATATCAAAGTATACTCTGAATTTCAAGCATCTTCTTCCTCTTCAATAAAATTGTAAAAATATGGAAGGTCATGAAAATGATGTTCCTTTGTCACATGACTAACTATGTGTCCTGTGACTAGAAAACGTCCATATTCTATAGCCTCTCCTCTATCATGTGCTAAACCAACTTCTAATAACCAGTCACACATGTCTGTTCCTGTAAATACTTGTTTATATTCTTTTAACCTATATCTGAAATAATATTATATCTTTGTTATATTTCTGTAAACTAATAATTTATAACACTGGAAATTATACAACATACTAGATTTCTGTTGGATTGTTATGTCACTGGGTTGCTGTCAGATTGATGTATACTTCGCATCTCCCTTTATTCATAATCAAAATAATTTTAAATACACAAAACTCAAAACAACAGTAACTATTTTTTTAATTAAATAAGTTAAACATTTAAAATTGTGAGTTTTTTTTGTCATGAATTAATACATCCTATCCCTTCTCTTTATTGACATTTTATTCTGAGAATTTTTTTACAGGAATTACCGAATTACAAGGAATATCTAATGTGTAAAATTAGAAATATTCTCAAAACAATAAAATATTTTGCTGTTCAATGTCTAATACCAAACATTACTTACTTTAGATCCTTTACTATAGCTTTAGAACAATTATTTTTGTGGTATTTCTTAAACTGTTCACATAAATGCATTGTTTCTTCATCAAGTTCTGAAGAATCTGGAAGTGTTACAATTTCTACACCATAAACAAGCTTACGCCACCTGTAATATACACACAATCAAAATATCATCATTATTCTATTAACTCATATTTTTCAGATACTGATACGAAAATGAGTTTTTATTCATATAAAAAGCCTATATAATTAAATATCTAACTTAAATGACATAGTATTTATAGAGTAACAAAACCTATCAGCTCAATTTAATAGCACAACTAACCACGGCTAATTTATCTCTGACAGAAATTTACAAAAATGTTATTAATGACCAGCTGAACTATGACCTATTGCACCCTTATTATACCTCTATTTTAAGCATACAGTGAACAGGAAGTTAATGAGCCATGGATGTAAAAACACATTATACTACACCGTATGCTACAATGAAGTTTGATGCAAGATGTACAGGACTTCTAATTTGTAGGTCCTGGGGAAAATGTGACAAAAAATTTAATACACGTTTGTATGTATGAGAATATAAATATTTTGTAAACAGAGAGTTAACAAGAGATGAATATGAAAACAAATTACAAATTTAACAAAGCGACTAAACAGGCCAGCTATATTTCAATCTGTTTTACTAGCATCTTTATGGTAAATCAAAACAATTTTTTTTTCTGGCAAGATTATCTTAATACAAGATGAATGTTCAGAAACAGAAAACCAATATTGATATAAATAACTCAAAGGAAAAATTCTAAAATATATTTTTCCGACAGACATTTTTATGAAATTATAAATCAACTTTCAATGCGATATGTATATGTGTTGCTATATACTTATGAACACTTGTGGTTCTACATCATATCAATACTTGTATTTTGGAGTTGCACAAGGTCATGATTTTCTTAACCTGTTTGTAAAGTCTTTACATTAGGTCAGTCGAATGTGTACTGATTGATATTTTTGTCTTGGAAAACACAAATTATTTGTCAGTTATTATTGGCTTTGAACTAGTTTTCAGTAACTGTGAATACTCTTAGATTGGTACTTTTTGTCTTGTTTTTTTGTTAGTTGTTTTAGTTGCTTCATGCCAATCTGATGAGTCCAGCTCTTTGCAACAGATCTTCACTATTTGATCTTATGTTGTGCTGTTACACCACTGTCAAGGTTAGGAAAGGGTTGAGCACTTGTAAAAATTGTTAACCCCTCCACATTCTGTATGTGCCTATGCCAAGTCAGGAGCCTGTAATTCAGTGGCTGCCTGTCAAATTTGTTTTTCATTTGTTGTTTTTACATAAATATGGCCTTTGGTTTTCTCATTTGAATTGTTATACATTCTAACATGTTGGGGTCTTTTATACATTACTATACAGTATGGGTTATGTTCATTGTTTATATCTAATTGTTTCTTATCGGTTAAAAAACTGAAGTTTGCAGTGGACAATTTAATATCTTATTTTTTGCATTAAAAAGCCAATGTAATCCAGACCAATCCAAGCACAAAATTAGCTGGAATGCTTTTTATATTTATGTTTCTGTGTATATCTTCATCTTTGAAGTTCTTCAGGGAAAATCAATTGTATAAATGAACGCACACTATGGAAAAACCCAAGCAAATTTACAACATAACATGTTGTAGGAGTGTCATGTGATAACACATTAAAGGAATAAAATGCTGACAGGGTGTCATGTGTTATCACATTAAAGGAATGTCATGTGATTACATATTGTATGAATAACATGTGATAACATGTTGTAAAAGTGTCATGTTAAAACATGTTGCAAGAGTTTCATGTGATGACATGTTGTAGAAGTGTCATGTAAAACATGTTGCGGGAGTCATGTGATAACATGTTGTAGAAATGTCATGTGATAACATGTTGTAGGAGTGTCATGTAAAACATTTTTTAGGAATTTCATGTAATTACTTTGTGTAGGAGTGTCATTTGATAAAATGTTGTAGAAGTGTCATGTGATTACATGTTGTAGGAATGCCATGTAAAAACTTGTTGTAGGAATGTCATGTGATTACATGTTGTAGGAATGCCATGTAAAAACTTGTTGTAGGAATGTCATGTGATTAAAAACTTGTTGTAGGAATGTCATGTGATTACATGTTGTAGGAAGGTGCTATACTTTATAAGATGACTGAAACTAACATATAATTCATACAAGAACAATTGATTCCTCAACATTAAAGTATATAAAATTAACAAAGGCAATCTCTAGTTTTATAACACAAATCTATTTAGGTACATATATATTGATAGATAAAGGCACAGTATTTGTCCCTCTGATAATGCGAGCTGCACAAATACAAAAAAAATCCCATCATAGGAGCACTGAACAAATTAACATGCAATTTAAAGCACACTTTAATCCAAGATAACATTGCCATATCATCAATTGTGTACAACATGCCATGCATTACAACAAATAAGACTGTTACCTTTTTAATAATTTACGTTTAAAGTTGACCAAGCTACAATATAACCATCACATCTAAATACATATTGACTGCAGTGGTATTATTTTGAAATCATACATTACTATATATTGCATCTTCAAAATATTTTAAAGCAAGTTAACCAGCATAACGAAATCACCTATGGGATGGAAAAAAAAAGAATATCTATTTGTTTCAGGTAGGAAGGAAATTTTAAAGAAACCCAACAACACAAATAACACAATGACATTACTATTTATGTTATCTTTTCCTAGGAAATGTACTTGTTTCAATCATTTAATCATATGTTAAAAATTGAGTACAGTCAAACCTGTATTAAGTGGTCTCTTACGAATAATGCCAAAAGTGAATGCTCAAGAAATGTGACCTTTAAAAAGCGGTTTCAAAAAATTCTGATTCCCATATTCACATGGCTGAGATCGTGGCAACTATTGTTTTAGTGTTTTTATGTTATTGTTAAAGAGTCTTTGTCGCTCACCTGGATCTCTGCATTTCCAACAATGGCCACTCTCCTGTATTGTAGAATTGAATTTAATTCATAACAAAAATCTCTTGGCTTGCTGATCATTTTTACTGATTACATTTTCTATCTAATGTCTGAATTTTGCCCAAAATAGAAAAATGGGTAAAAATTATCATTTAATGGCAATAATTCCTGTAAGGACTCCACAGATAATTTCTGCTATAAAGTGTCAACTGACAATTTCAGCAATGGAAACTTATTTGTAGATCTGTTTTTGTTGATCAAGTTGCTATCTATCTATTGTGGTTTTCAAAATTATTGGCCAAAATCCAAAAAATTGTTATTAAAGGGCAATAACTCCTATAAGGAGTCAGTTGTTGATTTCAGACATGGCTACTTTGTAGATCTTATCTTTCTTATCATACGAAATAGCCCAAAAGTGGTGCTTAAAAGTGGCGTTAAAACACCAACAATCAATCAATCATACTTTGCTGAACCTATAATAATATTCAAGATAATAACCGAAAACTGCAAATTTCCTTAAAATCATCAATTCAGGGGCAATAACCTTAAAATCAGATACCCGATTTGGCTGATAATTTCAGGGCAGGTAGACCTTGACCTAATGAATACCGTAACTTCTTGTCTGATTTGTTCTAAATGCTTTAGTTTTTTAGATATAAGCCAAAAACTGCATTTTACCCCTATGTTCTATTTTTAGCCGTGGTGGCCATGTTTTTTGACGAAACAGAAAATAAAACACAAACTTTATTCTAGATACCTTAAGGATCATTCAAATTAAGTTTAGTTGGAATTGGTTCAGTAGTTTCAGAGGAGAAGATGTTTGAAATAGTTTACACCGGATGGATGACGATGGACAACGACAGACGCCAAGTGATGGCAAAAGCTCACATTTCCTTTGGAAAGGCAAGCTAAAAATGATAAAAATTGGTAAAATTCACCATTTTAGGGCAATAACTCTTATAAGAAGTCATCTGACAGTATTGACTTAAATGGACAATAGATAGTTTTCATTTTTCTGAAGATTTCTGATCCTGTCAGATTTTCTCTATCTCTATATAGCGGTTTTCAAGATAATAGACAAAATTTGCATTTTCCTCTATATCCCATTTTTAGCCATATCAGCCATGTTGGTTGACAAGAGGAACCATTGTACACATTTTTAAAACTAAAAGATGGCCCAGTTTTTAACAAATTAGCCTAGTAGTTTCTAAGAAAAAGAATTAAAAAAAGACTACAGCAATAAGTGGGTCAGGTGAGCTAAACATGGCTTAATCCAGGGTTGAAAATTTGAAGAAAACATTCATGACAAACTGTGTTAATATTAGTGGCGAAATTAGACAGTGATACATTTTTCATTGGAAAGTGGAACAAGAGAAATTCACAAATTCACCTCCTATTACGCCATCACAGTTGCAAACAGGTTCCAATTTTTACTTTGACTGTGAGTTATGAACACATGTATTTTTGGACATGATCATATTCATTAACATTATGACAATTTTGAGTGAAAATTGGGGGACCTCTGATCCGGTTTAACAGGTGACTGCTGAAAAGAGTAAAATTATGTACAGAAAATGTTTGGGCAGGTCTGCAAGTAACTGTTAAGAGGTAGGTGACCACTGAATTGAAGTGATCTTTAAGGCAGGTTTGACTGTATTCAATAATATACACAACAACACTGGCTTTATACACCTTAATGCTTTTTGTCCCCCATTACTGGACATCACAAAGGTTCCCGTAAAATTTTGACATCGTAATGGAAAATGTCTGACGCCACAAAGGAAAAGTGATTGTTGTGTGACATAAATAGTTCAAGTGGCACAGATTTTCGGGTCAAGTGGCGCAGATTCCCTAATAGCCATAAGGTCTATTGTGAATAAAAATAAATTGTTTTTATGAAATTCAGGGGTCTTTATCTTTTAAACTACATATCTAAATCAAATATTTCACCATTATGCAATATAGAAAAAAAACAAGAATGTGTCCATAGTACATGGATGCCCCACTCGCACTACCATTTTCTATGTTCAGTGGACCGTGAAATTGGGGTCAAAACTCTAATTTGGTATTGAAATTAGAAAGATCATATCATAGGGAACATTCGTATCAAGTTTCAAGTAGATTGGACTTCAACTTCATCAAAAACTACCTTGACCAACTGAAAAACATAATGCCCCTAGGTGTGGCATAAAAACATGATTTTCTAAATATTAAAAATATATTAAACTGCCATCCCATAAAAAAATTTAAATAAATTCTTTACACCATTTTTATTTTATTTTCAGAGGAGGGATTTCCCCTTTTGTAAGTGTCATAAACTGTCAGTGATTCTCTGAACTGGTTCTTGTAATGCAACTTAAATCCCTGTTTTAAGGAGAATAAAGGGAAACCAAATTTTCTAAATAATATGATGATGGTGCATGGGAAAATTCATTTCTAACCTATTTGAATTTAACTCTCATTTACAAATTTTCAAGAAAAATTAACTGAGTATCAGTTTAAGTACCTAAATAATAACTGAGTATCAGTTTAAATACCTATCCAAACTAAATAATTAACTGAGTATCAGTTTAAATACCTATCCATACTAAATAATTCTATCTACACCAATACTGTTTTCCCTTGCACCATGTAAGGTATGAAGCATTTTTATATACTAAATCATCATTGTACCTTTCTAAACCTTATCTATTGTCTGACTACCAGTATAAAATATCAATTAGAAAATTACACAGTACATACCTTTTTATACATGGCAGGAATATCAATTAGAGAATTACACAGTACATACCTTTTTATACATGGCAGGAATATCAATTAGAGAATTACACAGTACATACATTTTTATACATGGCAGGAATATCAATTAGAGAATTACACAGTACATACCTTTTTATACATGGCAGGAATATCAATTAGAGAATTACACAGTACATACCTTTTTATACATGGCAGGAATATGAATTAGAGAATTACACAGTACATACCTTTTTATACATGGCAGGAATATCAATCTGGTATCAAACCCAAATATAGCAAAGATAATAAATCCCTGAAAAATAAATTGTGTTTCTACATTGCATTTTATATAATTGTTCAGTAGTTTTATAAATAACAAACTAGATGCTTATGTTTGGCTGCATTCATTAAGATTTATTGTAAATACAGAAATGTTTGCATGTATACATTATCCCACCTGTTCATCAACTGATATAAATGAAAGATTTGATTAATGTAATTTTATGAAATGCAGCATTAAAATACTGCCATCAGAAACACAAATGTGAATTCCAATCAATTTGATAACAATCCTATCTCATTTCCTTGTTTATCAAAACAACAAAAACATTTCTGAATTTACAATATATGTGGACTTCTCTAATCTCTAGCTGATTTATACATTCTCCAACTGGTTGTTTATCTTTTTATAATCAACATGTGGTTTGTTTAAGCTCAGTTTTTGAATCGGTTAAATTTTCTTGCTTATCCTCTGATTTTGCAAGCGTGACTTTATGAAAAAGGTGATCATGCAAGATGACATTACACAGAAAGAACACATCCTTTAGAAGATCATCAGAAAAAAAAGTAAAGTCTCAACTGGAGAAATATTGTATCACACTTAGTCGACTGTAGACTCGATAATTAACCAATGCATATATGGAACATGGATTCTAACTGAAGGCTACATAACAAGACAGAAACTCAGGCTGTACCCCTATTTTTGACATTTTTTACCTATTATGTCTGTTAGTTTTGATCACACATTGTTGTCAATATAATGAAATTCTATGCAACTGTCATACAAGTGAGAGGTTTAGCTAGCAATAAAACCAGGTTCAATCCACCACTTTCTACATAAGGAAATGCCTGTACCAAGTCAGGAATATGACAGTTGTTATCCATTGAGCTTTTGATTTTGCCATTTTATAAAGGACTTTCCGTTTTGAAGTTTCCCTTGGAGTTCTGTATTTTTGTTATTTTACTTTTTACCATCACACCGTCAAGGAATTCTAAGGCTTACCTGACCATAGTTCATCACACCGTCAAGGAATTCTAAGGCTTACCTGACCATAGTTCATCACACCGTCAAGGGATTCTAAGGCTTACCTGACCATAGTTCATCACACCGTCAAGGAATTCTAAGGCTTACCTGACCATAGTTCATCACACCGTCAAGGAATTCTACTTCTACATATGTTCCTGTTGTAACTCTATTAAAAAGTCTCCAAGTACACAAGAATAATCCCTAGAAATAATGAGGTAAATTTTTTATTGCAATGTTACTATGAAAGACTAGGATTGTTTAATTCAAAGTTGGATTTTGGGACTGCTGTGACTGCTAAACTCTCTGCAAGTAAAACAATGATGCAACTGATTAAAAGGAGTTAATGGCAGACTTTTTTTTTCAACCAATTTTAAGGCTCTGGAAACAAGCTAATTATTAAAGTCAGTTTAATTATTCAAGTTATTTGTTATAACAAATGTAATGTTACAAGATGTTTTTGTCCAAGTATTCACTCTGTTTACATTGCATTTGGTGGAAAATTGAAATTGATGCTAATTGGTTCATAAAAGAACATGGATACTGAAATAGTAAAAATAAACATATTTTCTCATCTTGATATTTAACCATGAATTTGCCTCTGTTTACACTTACCATTTTAACCCTATAAGAATAAATGGGGAATGTGTCCATGGGACACAGATGATGCCCCCTCATGTCTATCATATAAAGTTATAAAGGGACATAACTGAAAAAACGGTAATAGTGATGCTACCCAAATTTGTACTTGATCTGTATTTTGTGGTAATAAGCATTGTGTATAAGTTTCATAGCATTTGGTTGAGGCAAACTAAAGTTGGAGAACAGAAACAAAAAATTCAGCAATTTTTCCATTTGTAAAGGGCATAACTCTAGAACAATAAAAGTGACACCCACAAAAATTCAAACTTGATCTGTATTTTGTGGTAATAAGCATTTTGTATAAGTTTCATAGCATTTGGTAGAGGCAAACTTAAGTTAGAGAACGGAAACGAAAAATTCTGCAATTTTTCCATTTGTAAAGGGCATAACTCTAGAATGGTTAAAGTGACCCCACAAAAATTCAAACTTGATCTGTATTTTGTAGTAATAAGCATTGTTTACAAGTTTCATAACATTTGGTTGAGGCAATCTAAAGTTACAGAACGGAAACCAACTTTGGGACGTACGGATGGACGCATGTATGGACGTACAAGGGTAAAACTTATTGCCTCCTCCTCTACGGCGCTACAACCGCCCCCCCCCCCCCCCCCCCCCCCCCCAAAAAAAAAAAACAGGGCATACCTGGAAAATCTCAACCCCACTATAGATACAATTGTTGACACTTACCATAAACATAGAAACTTGACATAGAACCAACATCAACATAAATCTGTTACTTTGGAAATCATCTTTAACATTCCTTGATCGATTGCTGCCTACAGAATCTTCATCAGGTATAGCTACCACTGATGTATTATACTTCCTCAGTAGACCAGCACACCTTCGTCTCTGTTCTATACCACACGTGCCATACACACACTGTTCTACTTCATATGTATCTGTTAGTCCATCACCACTATTACTGGACGAGTCAGAAATGAGACTTTCAGTCTCTTTAGGGAAAGGCACTATATCTTCTATACTGGTTCTACCTACTCCTATAAAGGATGACAACATCCAAATAATAGCAGGAGATACACAATTATACAAGTGACCACATTGTGTAAGTATCTTGTTCAAAATTCTAGTTACTATTCAAGTTTATATCAAGGGATCACATTGTGTAAATATCATCTTCAAAATTATACAATTTACAGATACCTTTTCAACCTGACTATTGAACAAAAAACAGAAAACAAATGTCCCTTCATTCATAAACAAAAAATTCATTTTATTTAATTTAAAAGAACAAAGAAATCTGCAGTGACATGGTCTGGAAAGGTAAACAATAACATAAGCTTAAATAGGTTTCATTGTTTATCCTGTACTTTATATTTTTATTTGAACTTTATTCAAAATTTATCTTAGACCAATATTAATTTGATTGATATTCAGTTCTGTGTTCAAGCTTTGCTTACAAGGATCTGACAACACTCTGTTCTGGTAATTATCATGTCAGCCAATGAAATTTCAGCCTTCAAATTTTTAAGGGTGTGTATTAATCTGACAAAACCATAGGATTCCGAAAGGTCTCTTAAAAAGAGAGTAGAATGGATCCATGTAAGCAAAGCTTGGATCCAGGGTCTGTATTTTAATCAGATTGATCTTAGAATTATTGTCCTTTATGAACAATATTTACCTTCACACGAATTATCACAGTTGTTACAGCTATTCATGGATCTATAATCCTCTTCTTTACTGTCTCTCCTTCCTAACAACCTACAACGACTGTCATCCTTTATTCCATCATTTTTCTTTCTTTTACTGTTCAATATGTCACCATTCTGATGTTCTCTTAATTTAGAATATGCTGATGAATTCCTTTGTTTAAGAATTAGACAGACAATGTTAATTGTACTACACACAGTCAAGATTGCTAGGGACAAGATGGTCTGTAAGAGAAATAAAAAATCTGTATACTTTATATTTATTTTAATTATACTACATAGAATCAAGATTGTTAGGGACAAGATGGTCTGTAAAAGAAATAAAATCTGTATACTTATACCTATATAAATATATAAATATATGTATCTATTTAAATCTTTTCTATTGTAAAATCAATCAAACATTCTATCATTATAATTGTAAACACAGTTAAAATTTCAGACAAGCTGTGTTAGTAAATTCCTTTGTAGTAATTGGTTTATAACTTTATTAAACGATTACAATTTCCAAGTGATTTAATACAGAACTTTTAATGATTCCTTATACATAAGCCTCAGCTGTTACACAGGCAAAACATGCAATATAAAAATCTAATACCTTGGTCACATTATACTTAAACTTTTAATATATAATAGCAAGAAAGAAGAGCAGAAACTAGAGCTTGAATTGATATATATTTTTTTCAGCATCAAAGTATTTGTTAGTGCATTCAAGTGAAAACAAAACCAATGATTTTTTTATATCACCATTTTATTTTTACTTTTTTACACAAAAATAAGAAGAAAAAATCCTTTCAAAATATGCTGTTTGCATTGCATTTGAATGTATTAAAGTTTTAAAGAAAGTAGATATGAATCATCATAACAATATTACTATTATAAGGTGTCTATCTATAGTTTCAATTATATTATCATTTTGCTATTAGTAACATTTTCTTTCTATCTAGTATTGTTTTCAAAATAATTGGTGAAAACACTATAGTCTGTCAACATGGTCAATATCTCCTTTTAGGAGTCAATTACAAAAAGACATTTCTATTTGTTATTGTTTTGAAAATATAAGTGAAAGATTTCTGTAAAAAATATTTATTTCAGGGCCATAACTCCTGTAGGTAATTATATATAACTAATTAATGTTTTCCATAACAATGAGATTTTGTAGATGTTTTACTAGAATTAATTGTGTGATAATTAAATTGATTTACATTTATTGTTTATTGAGTGCATGTGTTAAATGGAGGTCCATAATTTACAATTAGCCATTTAGATCTTTATATAACCTTAAACTATACTTAAGAATATTGTTTTAAGCACGTCATGAACTTATTTATACATAAACCTGGGTTCCAGATCAGTTTTTATAATGATACATTTCAACAATACATTTCTAACCACCCATCCTTCCATTTATAACAAATCCGTACTTTCTAGTTTATTAATCAATTGTATGGTTAAATATATAACAAATGTGTTGAAAGTTCTATTTTGATAGTCTGGTATCATCAGCAATATTAGAAGTTTCAACTTGATCGATAGCTATGAGTACAGAAAATTTTAAGATTTTTCATCATTTTGTGCTTAGCAAATATGTCTTCCATCATGTAATTCAGCAAAAGTATAGTGCATCTGATCATCAACAACAAAATAATTCAGTTATAATCATTGAGCTGTTATGGATCTGTCTAGTCGATAGGGTGACAATCATTGAGCTGTTATGGATCTGTCTAGCCGATAGGGTGACAATCATTGAGCTGTTATGGATCTGTCTAGCCGATAGGGTGACAATCATTGAGCTGTTATGGATCTGTCTAGCCGATAGGGTGACAATCATTGAGCTGTTATGGATCTGTCTAGCCGATAGGGTGACAATCATTGAGCTGTTATGGATCTGTCTAGCTGATAGAGATTGTTTTACATTCTTTGTGGTTTCTGTTTTGTGTTTATTTGTTGCCAATATTTTGGATGTTGTTTAATTATGTTGTATAAATGCCATGGTAAATAATCAGTTAAATTTTAGTTTGTTGTTTATAAAGCAAAAATATGTTGTGCTAAACTTTGTTTTGATATAAGTTATAAACAAAGGAAACAAAAACAAAAATCCAGAAGTTTTGTAATTGTTACAAACATTTAATTTTTAATAAATATGTGTTAGCTGTCTTCATACCTGATCTTCCCCATAATGGAATGAAGGATCTATTTCTGCATGCATATGGTGTCCAGCCAACATAATTAATAATCCTGTACAGAACATTGGTATCCTACAACAAAAGTATGTGTACAATTATCATTAATTTATCACAAAGACTCATAATGCTGAAAACATTTCATTGCTCATTACTGTAAGGGCTTTCAAAGTTTTTTGGCAAAGAGGAACTTCGATAAAATCAAAATTCACCAAGTGAGAGGCATGGATGCGCTTTGGACTTACAATGGATCTAGGGTAAAACCCTTGTAAGGGGCACAGACAGGATTGCTCCTGTTTTTCAGGTACATGTATTGAGACTACAACATTTGCAGCAAAAATAATGAATTCAGTTATTGTAAAAAAATTAAATGGAGTAGATAAATAAAATATCTGAAAAATTTATAAAGGGTTCCATGGAACTCACTGTCTGGCCTATGATTAGTGTTGTGAGCTTAAAAGTAACTCCCATAATACAAAATTGGAAATTTTTCAAATCAAAAGCTACTTTATTTTTACCATGTCCAACAATTGTGTAACGATTTAAGTAAATCTATCCAAGCATACTCAAGTTAGTGTACAACAATTGTGTAAGGATTTAAGTAAATCTATCCAAGCATACTCAAGTTAGTGTACAACAATTGTGTAACGATTTAAGTAAATCTATCCAAGCATACTCTAGGAAATGTACAACAATTGTGTAAAGAATTAAGTAAATCTATCCAAGCATACTCAAGTTAGTGTACAAAAATTGAAAAATTAAATAAAACCTGACAGTAAAAATCCTTTAACTTTGGAACAGAAAACAAGAAAAATTTCAAAATCAAAAGAGAGTTTCCTATAAGCATTTTAAGCTATCACAAAAAACAGTGTAAAGTGTAACGTAAATCTTGCAGGCATATAAAACTGTATCAAGACATTTGGATAGGCCTGCATGTTTTCATTGACGACAAATTCTTTGAAGGAGCAAGCTGCTTTATATTCTGATATGGCCAAGACAAATCTGATATACATAAATGACTTGTTCACATTATGGAGTTTTAAACTAAAAACACTGAAATACATATTGTAGAAACTAATTCTCCTTCTATTGCTAGTGACTTACATTATGTCTCCACTCTATTTTTTTATGGGAGTAAGACTCATATTAGACAACATGTATCATATCAATTAAAGGAATACCAACCCAAAACCAGCAAGTATCAGCCACCATCTTATTCTGAGAAGAAAACATAAACTTCTACAATGGAGGAAGTACAAACAAAGGGAGATAACTGCAGTCCAACATCTTGTTGACAGAACTCCAACTAGGATTAAGGTAAACTGTACCAGATGTAACCACGATATCGTTTTGGAGTGGGTACCTTCATACAAAATCAATCCTAAACAGCTAAACACCTGCAAAGTAAAATAATGTAAAATGTAATTATGCAATGTGTTGGAGTGGGAACCATCACACATTATCAATACTAAACAGCTAAACACCTGTAAAGTAAAATAATGTAAAATGTAATTATGCAATGTGTTGGAGTGGGAACCATCACACATTATCAATACTAAACAGCTAAACACCTGTAAAGTAAAATAATGTAAAATGTAATTATGCAATGTGTTGGAGTGGGAACCATCACACATTATCAATACTAAACAGCTAAACACCTGTAAAGTAAAATAATGTAAAATGTAATTATGCAATGTGTTGGAGTGGGAACCATCACACATTATCAATACTAAACAGCTAAACACCTGTAAAGTAAAATAATGTAAAATGTAACTGTGCAATGTGTTGAAGTGGGAACCATCATACATTATCAATACTCAACAGCTAAACACCTGTAATGTAAAATTGAAATTGTAACTATGACGATTTAATGGAGTGGGTACCATCATACATTATCAATCCAAAACAGCTAAACACCTGTAAAGTAAAATAATGTAAATGGTAACTATGATGATGTGTTGGAGTGCAAACCTCCTTACATAATCAATTCAAAACAGCTAAAAACCTGAAATTTTAAACATTTAAATTGTAACTAGTCTATGCGTTGGAATGGGAACATTGTTACTGGGTCTATGACATGTTTTTGATTAACAAGAGTGCACATGCTGAAATGTCTTGCCTGTTTAACTGACCATTGAATTTATGTTGAAAGTCTAAAAAATAAAGGTTTTACTAAAAGCATTACAGAAACTTAATATTTTTAAAAATCTATGACAATGAGGTCAAGGTCAGATAAATTGTGTCAGACAGGCAAATACAACTTACAATTTTTTTTATACACCAAATATAGTTGACCTATTGCGTATGCTTTTTGAAAAACAGACCAAAACACAAAAATTTAACATTGTAATGAACCATAAATATGAGGTCAAGGTCAGATGACACCTGCCAGACAGACATGTGCACATTACAATTATTCCATACACCAAATATAGCTGACCTATTGCTACCGTAGAAAGGCTTGTATAGTCCGCGGTTTTATTCTCCAAAATTGGACCTTCCAGACGGGGTGAGGACTATAGAGTACAATAAGCAAGAAATAAGAGAAAAATTTCAATTTCGCGGGCGAGGTGGTTTGTTTACGTTCCGCCATCTTTGTTATTTATATTGTAGAGGGCGCTCTTATCATTTTTCAAACTAATAATTTTAACTCATCCATATTAATAAGTTATTTCTATTCAATATCAAATTAATACTGATAAGTATAAAAACTAAACCTTTCATTACAAATTTCTCGTTTCTTTTCAATGCATTGGTTGAAATAAATATTATAGTGATATCTGTTATGTACAGATTTCGACTCTCACCAGTTAATTTCTTCTTTTACACGTGCTTTTTAAACTTCCTGTTTAAACATACACAAGTTTCTAAATTGTTTTTTAAGTGAATTAAACTTATTTTAACAATCATGAAGCTTTCTAGAATCATTTACAAGCAGTTTCAGATTCTGTTTGATGATGGAAAACAGGTTTTTCCAAGAAAATACCGCAAACGACCGCACAGGATTTGAAATTACCGGAGTTTCATTAGACCTTTTCTAACAGTTACAAAAAGTTTTTTTACCTAAAATTTCGTGGGGAGAAGGGGGTGTGGACTATGTACCAGTGCGAACTATACAAGCCTTTCTACGGTATTTGTATTTGAAAAACAGACCAAAACACCAAAACTTAACATTGACAATTGAACCATAAAAAATGAGGTCAAGGTCAGATGATACCTTCCAGACAAACATGTACACCTTACAATCATTCCATACACCAAATATAGTTGACCTATTGCTTATAGTACTTGAAAAACAGATCAAAACACAAAAACTTAACACTGACCAATGAACCATGAAAATGAGGTCAAGGTCAGATGATACCTGCCACAAAGACATGTTCACCTTACAATCTTTCCATACACTAAATATAGTAGACCTATTGCTTATAGTACTTGAAAAACAGACCCAAACACAAAAATTAACATTGACCAATGAACCATGAAAATGAGGTTAAGGTCGGATGAAACCTGCCTGACTGACATGTACCCATTACAATCATTCCATACACCAAATATAGTTGACCTACTGCTTATAGTATTTGAGAAACTGACCTAATCACCTAACTTTAACCTTGATCACTGATCCATTAAATGAGGTCGAGATCAGGAGAACTCTGTCTGACAGACATGTAGACGTTGCAAGGAACCCATATACCAAATATGGTTATCCTATTACTCATAATAAGTGAGAAATTCACATGACAAAAAAGCAGTTGCTGAACCATGAAAATGAGGTCAAGGACAAGGGACATATGACAAACAGAAACTTCATAACATAAGGTATCTGCATACAAGGTATGAAGCATCCAGGTCTTTTACCTTCTGAAATATAAAGCTTTGTACAAATAGTTTACGCCGCGATAGTAATACCCATGTCTCACATACTGTGACTTTCTTTGCAGGCGAGACAAAAACTATGAATAAAATGACAATTTATTTTTTATCATAAAACCATGAATAAAATGAAAAACACTAGTGCATCCCTAGATTTCCTGGAATATTTTCCAATTGATAGCATCATGCTTTATAAATCATTTGGAAACCTAGATTTTCAATTTTGTAATTTATGTGATAACAATTTTGTAATTTATGTGATAAAAAATACATTTACTAACAGCATAAAATCATTTAGCTTCATCTTATAAATAAGCATTTTCTCACTTCTTCAGCCATACCTGTTTTCTGGGTCAACATCATACACATTTTGTCAGTGCTCAACATTTTTCGGATGTGCTGACCAAATTTAATAAAACTCAATGACATCAACTACTAACAATTCATTTGCAATAAAGTAGATTCAAAGCTATCTTTTGATATCAGTAAGTTGTTACTGGGTGTTTTTATTTAGCATAAGCATAATAAGGTTTTAGTTTGGGAAAAATGTATGGTAACAATAATTTATGATTTTGACAGCTTGTGTCCCTTTAAAGTATTTATATCATTATAATTCTTGTATGATATCATAATTGGGAATTTGTCCAGTAAACTCTTGATAAATGTTTTTAATCCAATAGTAACTTTACTGCAAATATGGAAGGAAAAGGGGGGGGGGGGGGGGGGATGAATTGACTGAACGTTCACAAAGACCACGTTTCTCTCAGGTAAACTTTTGTCTTTTAAAATCAATTGGTAGAACATTATCTGCTTAACCAAAAGCCAATAATATAATTAGTACTTACATGAGCTACACAGAAACAAAGAAGAAACTGGTGTGGCATTTTCTTGTATCTCCCACTAAGGAACAACAAAACTATGACCCATATCTGTCAAAATTAAAAATACTCTTTTAACTTGGATAACAATATTTCTAAGAACAAATACTCCCTCCCCCCCCCCCCCCTAAATGTATGATCTACTATTGTTAAAGATTTTGTTTTTGACAATCTTTTCATTGAAACACAGAATTACATATTTCAAAATCTGTTTATAGAAATCACAAGACATTCTTTTCACAACAATGAAAATGTACATAGTAAAAAAAACACAGAAAAGAAATGTTGTTTTGACACCATTATATGGCATTACACATGTAATAACAAGTGAAACTGCAACTGGATAATTTTAATAGTGTAAAAATATGTAAGTGTTTGGTAAACAGGAAGTTGTTGAGTGATGAATCTGAAAACGCATCACACGGTATAGCTGACTCATATAAAACCTGAAACCAAATTTCAGAAATCCTTGTAATGTAGTTCCTGAGAAAGATGCGACAAAAAATATTCATGGGACGGACGGACGGACTGACAGATGGACTGACGAATGGACAGACGGACAGACAGAGGTAAAACAGTATACCCCCACTTTTTTAAAGCGGAGGTATAAAAAAAACCATCTAATTATATACATGTATACCCTTAAACAGAAAAAGGATCATACTTGTATTAAGTAAACAGGGATAAAGATCCCTCAAAAACATTGAAATTTTAAATATACACTAATTTTTCATTGATATATTCATGCAGAAATTTAAACATATTATTTGTTCAGTCCTAGTATTCATCTGAAAATTTAAATCCCAAAATTAAAGAATTTAGATTTCACAAATTGCAGGCCAGATAAAATCATAAAATGCCTAATAGTATATTGCCTACAAAGTTTAACTAAACCCGTCAATCCTAGATTTCAAGCTTTTAATACTATCAATCAAGGTCTATACTAGTGGAGGAAGGAAATAAATAAATCCAATATTTACACAAATTATATATTTAACCTACCTTCCAAAACAACAAGAAAATAAAACAAATGATATATACAGTAATAAGTGAAGGATGTCAAACATACAGATTAACTTATGGCCTTTTCCATATTGACCCATTTATCATCCAGACTCCCATATATTATGACTATTTGTACACTGACTATCATATGATTATCTGTTATTCTATATATATAGATTCTACCACTGCATCGAGTGTGGTACGATATTTATCCACTCGAGACAGTTAAATTTTCAAATTTAAAACGCGAGGCTCGCCAAGCGTTTTAAATATTTAAAATTTAACTGTCGAGAGTGGATAAATATCGTATTACACGAGATTTGGTGGTGGAATCTGTTTCTCTAATGATTTTCAAACAATATGCAGGCAAACTTATTCCGTCTTTTCGAATGATCTGTAAAAAGATGTGTTCTTTCTATGTGACGTCATCAGGCATGGTCGCCTTTTTTCATGCCGTCACAATAGGAAATTCAGAGGAAAGCAAGTAAATTCGACGTCATAATCGGATTTTAACCAATGAAGAACTGAGATCAAACGAACCACACGTTGATTAAATTTTTTTTATACAATGGGTGTAGAAAGGGATAAATTGACGAAGAATTAGAGAAATAAATATATAAGTAACGATGTCGATGTGTAAGTATACATATATCTCAAATACTGGTTAGGGAGACAATAACTAGTTAGGTTACTATTGAAATTCAAGGAATACTATGACAGCTATTTAATTATTTGTTTAAATCTTCTGTTAATCCAGGAAAAATATTGAACAAATAGTTATATCCTTCATCATTGGCTTCTTGTTTTGAGACCTGAACAGTATATAACCTGGTTAACAAGAAACTAAATATGAAATGTCCCTGTTAGTGTCATGCTTTTATGTAATTTATATATGTCATTATCAATGTTCTTCAATTTCCAGGTAACATTTTTCTCGTACCATTATATAACTTTTCCAAAATTTAATAATACACATGTATATACCTATATATTTTATGAAGTTGTTATTAAAAGTATCAGGAGTAGGGCTTAAACAGGAGCATGAGAGGCTCCTGATATTATCAAAATGATTATCAGTCTGGGTTTCAAGAGTATGGGCTTCTTACTGCCAGCAGTATTACTTATTCAAAATGTAATATATTTTCATTAAGTATGTGGTATAATGAAATTTAAAAAAAAAGAATTTTGTTTACTGATAGGACTTAAAGATAAACTGTTGACACAGAGATATGTCTTGCCTTTTTGTAATTTTGATAATTAAAAGCAAATTTTGAATCTAAATGGCAATATTTAAACATGTAATCTATGCAAAAAATTCAAAATCAATGAACCATGACTTAAGGAACAGGACCAAATATCTCCATGGAAATGAGATGTGCCAATGCTTATGCATTTGCATCCCAAATATCATTGACCTACCACAAGTGGTTCCCCTTAAACTGACCTAATCACTAACTAATACATGTAAAGTAGGCAGCAGTTTCAAAGTCAATAGACCATGACTGAGTGGGCAAGGCCAAATCATCTCCATGAAAATGAGATGTGCCAATGATAATACAACACACCAAATATCCTTGACCTACCACTAGTGGTTCCCCATAAACTAATACATTGTTGAAGCCACCCACGCAGTCAGAGACAGCATACCTAAGTTTTGCTTTTTGACGCTGTCAAGACGAGACAAAATTTTTTGGTATATGTCAAAGATGACACAAAAAGTAAAAACAAACTATCTTTTTATAATAGGAACTTTTTTCTTTAAAAAAACCCATTTGCATATACAAATTTGATTATTTTCAAATATCACTAAACGACAGGTATTTACCATCCTAAATTTATGAGTGTATACAAGTACTTTTATGATAAATTTTTATTAATTCATGACTTGTATGTATATGAATCAAATGAAGTAGATTACTTACACTACAGACTAAGCTTATGATACTAGTATCAAATGAAGTCTCTAACATCAGGGTTTTATAGTCCAGCTCACTATTTACTACAACTGTTAACATTTTAGCAGACACAAACATGATGGGCGCTGACAAGAATGTACCAGCTACCATTCCAGTGGCTACCTAAAATCATATTTAACATGATCAACCATAACAAGAATGCATCCAATACTTTATCATTGGTTACATCACAGACTTAGAAATTGCATTTAAAGAATGTTTATTTTTTCTGAAAAAAAAAAGAGTTTTAAACCAGTTTTAAATTATTTCTGTTAATCTTTCTAATCCATGTTAATTTTAAGACTTTTTTGTAATTTTCAAGTTCATCATATATATTTTAAACTTTATTTTTATCAACAAACCAAATTACATTGGTATAGAAATACACACAATATATATTACATAATGCAAATGTGCAGGGGGGTAGTGATAAAATGTGTCTTCTGACTTCATCTGGTTTGTTTTCCCAAATAAATGAGAATATTTTGTCAGTAAAGTGTTTAAGTAAGTGTAGTCTTCCACGCCAAAGGGTGCCATAAAAGTGTCGGCGTTTGTAATGATAGTGCCCTCTGAGTTTAAATAACCCTGCCCATTTCTAAAGCTGCAAGATACACTTAACTGTTAAAAGAATAAGAATGAGTTAAACTCACATATTTACTGCAATATATTGTAACTTATGTGGCTTTCTCTTAAAGGGGCATTACATGTAGCTACAAGATGTAAAAAAAATAAAATATTATTTTTTTTTGTTCAATCAATAATGAAAGTGAAGAAGTGAAACAATAATTCAGGTTTAGCCGCCAGTTTTGTTCAATTTTATCAAAATAAGCTAAGAAACATTGCTGATGAATTATTCACTTGCAAGTGAATAATTCGACCTCATTGAATCCATATTCATGTGACCTTCAATTCAACCCCTTAGCTGGTGATGGGTTACGCATGTATTCAGCTATTAAAAGGAAAAGAATGTCAACATTGAAAGTGAAACAAGGATGAACCATTTGTTGACGGATTCGATCACCAAAAAAATCATTCTTATACAGGTAAAAACAATGATAATTATAAAAAAGAAGATGTGTTATGATTGCCAATGAGACAACTCTCCACAAGAGACCAAATGACACAGAAATTAAACATACTTTTTAACCTACAATATGAAATCAAAAAGACCTAGAAAATCCAATTGCATGTGGACGCTATCTATTTATATTTATGTTTACAATGTGTGTTTATATTGGTCTTTATGACTGTCGGCAGACTACGGAGGTCATCTCAGTGGTTAGTTAGATGATGTCTAGACAAAAATACACACAAAATGCTGAAACATATTATCGAGTCCATGCATTGTTTTAAAATTGTTTATTTTAGACTTTTTGTAATTTGGATATGCATGAACATGAATTTGAGATTTAATGCCCTTTTAAATAGTAAATAGTTTTAAAATTCTTTTCTAAAATAGAATGCTTCACTGAGCGCAGCCTGATACGACAGCAGAGGTCGAACCCTGAACAGTCGGGGCAAGTTTGGACACAATATTCAAGCTTGATACTGTCTGAATTTGGATTGTGCTATTGCGCAATACTGTGCAATTGAAGATTTCTTGCTTTTGCCCAATACTGTGCTATTGCACAATACTGTGCAGTTGAAGATTTCTTGCTATTGCCCAATACGGTGCAATTAAAGATTTCAAAAATTTGAAATTTCAAAAATTTTGAAGAAAAAAAATGCACCCCAAAAAATTGGAAAAAAAATCCCCCCAAACTTTTTGAACCCCCACCCCCCCTTTTGGAGTAATTACCCCCAAACTCAATCCGTGCCTTCCCTTTATGGTATGGAACCTTGTAGTACAATTTTAGAAAGATCCATACACTTAAACACAAGTTATTGTCTGGAAACTAGAAAAATGCCTGTTTTTGGCCCCTTTATTGCCCCTAATTCCTGAACGTTTGGGGCAATTACCCCCAAACTCAATCCCAGCCTTCCCTTTGTGATATGGAACCTTGTGGTATAATTTCAGAGAGATCCATACACTTACACACAAATTATTGTCCGGAAACTACAAAAATGCTTGTTTTTGGCCCCAAACTGTTAGGTATCATCACCCCCAAAATCAATCCAAACCTTCCTTTTGTGGTATTGAACCTTCTGGTAAAAATTCATAGAGATCCATTCACTTAAACTAAAGTTATTGTCTGGAAACCAAATGTGTCTTCAGACGACGACATCATAGCATTATACGACGCAAAAGGTATAAAAACCAAGAGAATTCTCATATCTTTATTTTCCACAAAGGGGTAGGGGCATCAAGGCCCTTATTTGGCCCAAATATTATAGCAAATTGAAAAGTTACCATACATATTCCTAATTTTGTCCAAACTACACTAAGGTACAAGGTGATCAGAAAATAAAAACAAATTTCACATTTAATGAGTTACCATGGCAACAAATTATGACAAAATACATGTATATTTGGTAAAATTTGGTGATTTTCCTTGTTTTACATCAAACTTTATGTATATATTAGATTGGAAAAGTAAGTGTGTATCTTAGAAACAACTTTATATTTGGATAGAATATGTAAAAATTTATAATATAGCTTCTCTTAAAATCATTTTGTTGTTTCTTGCTTGTGCACGATGTTTTCTCAAAGGATATAATGACGGAAAACTGCATAAACTTAGCAGTTCTCTTTGTTTTCCTGAAATTATAGCATTTTATGACGTAATTGTGATGTCATAACATCAAAAATCTTATGTAATTTATTTATATTTTGATGAATTTATGTATTTTCAAACATTATGTGCAAATTTGAAATATTTCTCAACAACTTTATCTTCATGGGCCAAAACCGGGCTTTAAGTAATGACCCTACTCCTTTGGATAAAAATACACATTATCTTCATGATCTTTCACTAAAAGACTTCATTCCAGAAAAGGTTCTTCTAAAATATATACATATTATATGAACCTATTACACTCTATGTATTATAAATTGATACTTACAATATCTTGTCCAATAGAATAGTGACTGGCATATAAAAAGACAGATGGCGCTGTTGGGAATGTGCCATATAAAAAGCCAAACATACTCAATGACTCTGTAGTATTCTTGTTACTATAAGATTTCTCTAAAGCACCAACAACTTCCCAAGTAACTAATGGCAGGATTAACCTATTAACACATTTTTTTTTATAATAGATAGTTTTAGTGCGATTAATAAACATGCATTGTTTTATCAATTTTGTACAAGTGATTAATTTGATATATGCTTTCTACCATTCCTAGTCGTCCTGAATATGCATTATTTACCACTCGAGGTTACGCGAACAACATTCAATCAAACACATTTATAGTTTTGCGTAAGCTTTTCGTATTGTAAATAACATTGTCAAAGTTATTTGTGTTGGTGAGAGCCAAGACATTTTATCAGTTTTTCTGCAAGTTAAAATTTTAACTAGGATGAAGTATGTCCATGGTAAAAATTAATTATTTGAAACAAGTCCTGTTTTCAGGTGATTGTGTGAGTTGATTCAATTTATCTGAATTCTAAACTGGAACAGAAACGAAATAATACAAAAATATGGAATACAAAATTATAACCAAATAGCTACAGAAACAGTGTTGCTGTTTCATCATGACAGTTACCGTACTCTAAGTTTTTCAATGATTAACTTAAAGAGCTGACACCTTTCAGAATAACTGTCTCTTGTTCTTGTGACAGCGGACTGCGGTTGTGAGTTCAAACCAGTTTCCTTCATCAATAACAACTAGCCTCCACGGTATAAGTGCCATTAAACACCACAACAATCAATCAATCAATCAATCAATCTTATTCTAACGTATAATAAAGTGTTTTAATTATCTATAAACATAGATACTAACGCTTTAGCTGCTATTAGAAGTACTGGTACAATAAGTTGTGGACCCATCTGGCCTGATATTTTCCCTACTAAACTTAGACCAAGATAAAACAGAGCAGCTCCAGAGAAGGCATCCCCTGTAAAGATAAGAATATTTGATTCATTTCCATTTCCATAACTCTTCTGTCTTAAATCTATAAAATAGATAAACATGTGTATTATCTAACATCTTTTTAATATCATATTAATATAATTGAAATATTTTTGATATATTTTATTGAAATGTAAACTTTTTCACAAATTATACATGTACATCATATACCAGGGTACATGTGTATCTGAACAGAAGACAGGCAAAGTATAAGTAATTGTCAGTTAAAATTGCATTTAGATTTATCTGAAATAATAATGATACAAATGATTGAATTTTTTAATTGTATTTAAGATTATTACATTAGTCATCTGTTTTTTCTAAATAAAACAAAAATAATCATAATACCTAAAACATCAAGAATTTCTGAGATAACCAAAGGTAAATTTCTTCGTAGTATGAAGTTTCCTGCAATACCGATGATGGTCATGAATACAATAGGATTAGTGATTACCCCTTTAATCACATGCAGTATCAAGGCACATGTCCCAGATTTTGGACCAGAGTCATTTATACTCTTAGACACTTCTACATCAACTCCTTCCCGCTTTTTTTGAATTTCCAACAATAAAAAACCAATTGGGTTGAGAATAACAACAGATACAGGAGCTATCAGATAGATATAATTCAGGTACTGTGGATGGCTTTTATCATACAATGCTTGTACTGAAAAATAAAGTTAAGTTATGAGAACATGGTGAATGGCTTTTATCATACAATGCTTGAACTGAAAAAAACAAAGTTAAGTTATGAGAACATGGTGAATGGCTTTTATCATACAATGCTTGAACTGAAAAATAAAGTTAAGTTATCAGAATACGGTGAATGGTTTTTATCATACAATGCTTGTACTGAAAAAAAAGTTAAGTTATCAAAACATGGTAAATGGTTTTTATCATACAATGCTTGTACTAAAAAATAAAGTTAAGTTATGAGAACATGGTGAATGGTTTTTATCATACAATGCTTGTACTGAAAAAAAAGTTAAGTTATGAGAACATGGTGAATGGCTTTTAACATACAATGCTTGTACTGAAAAAAAAGTTAAGTTATCAGAACATGGTGAATGGTTTTTATCATACAATGCTTGTACTAAAAAATAAAGTGAAGTTTTGAGAACATGCATGGTGAATGGCTTTTATCATACAATGCTTGTACTGAATCAAAGCGCTAAAGCGCTGTAAAGGCAGTTAATTACAGGTTGTGTGTATTTTTAGTCCAGTTATATCATTATCTTGCATAGTACATTGTACTTATCAGAGGTGGCTTTCAGTATTTAAGATTTAGAGTTCTCTAATGATATTGAACAAGTTTTATGAATGTCATATTCTGAGCACTATATGAAGGCGATTGTTCTCACTTGTTTATGAACTAGTGCATTATGTCCAGTTTGTACCTTTTTTATCTATGTTTATAGTCAAATACTGTTTAAAATAGTTTGGCATTTTCTTTTAAGTAATAAGTAAATGTTATCAACTGTATTTTATTCAACTTTGCAAATGTGGTTTGTTACTGGTAAGTACAATGTATGGATGATAGTTGTTTCATTGGCAATCATAACACATCTCCTTATTTATATAATGATCTATATTCAACGACCTCAGGTACAAAAAAAATGTATGTAACTAAACTATGATGGGAAACCTTTGACTTCTTTCTTTAATATAAACTTTTGATTTGGTACCATAGAACTATGTAGAATAAATGTACATTGCAACATGTCAACTCTTTCAATGACAATACTTTTTTTAGAAACTATAACTCCAAGCAAAATTATATTTCTAAGTATAAAGTAATTTATGAATGAAACAAGAGTGCACACGCTGAAATGTCTCGCCTTCTTTACTAATCATTGATATTATGTTGATAGTCCTAAATATAAAGCTTTATTACAACTGCCACATAAACTTAACATTAACCAAGTAAACTAAACATTGACCAATGAACCAAGAAAATGAGGTCAAGGTCAGATGAACCATGCTAGGCAGGCATGTACAGCTAACAATTCTTCCATACAACAAATATAGTTGACCTATTGCTTATAGTTTAAGAAAAACAGACCAAAACACAAAAACTTAAAACTGAGCAATGAACCTTGAAAATGAGGTCAAGGTAAAAAAAAACCTGCTTGACTGACATATAGATCATAAAATATTTCCATACACCAAATATAGTTGAACTATTGCATATAGTATTAGAAAAAAAGACAAAACTCAAAAACTTAACTTTGACCACTGAACCGTGAAAATGAGGTCAAGGTCAGATGACACCTGCCAGCTAGACATGTACACCTTACAATCATTCCATACACCAAATATAGCAGACCTATTGCATACAGTATAAGAAAAACAGACCAAAACACAAAAACTTAACTATAACCACTGAACCATGAAAATGAGGTCAAGATCAGATGACACCTGCCAGATGGACATGTACACCTTACAGTCCTTCCATACACCGAATATACTAGACCCATTGCTTATAGTATCTGAGATATGGACTTGACCACCAAAACTTAACCTTGTTCACTGATCCATGAAATGAGGTCGAGGTCAAGTGAAAACTGTCTGACGGGCATGAGGACCTTGCAAGGTATGCACATACCAAATATAGTTATCCTATTACTTATAATAAGAGAGAATTCAACATTACAAAAAATCTTAACTTTTTTTCAAGTAGTCACTAAACCATGAAAATGAGGTCAAGGACATTGGACATGTGACTGACGGAAACTTCGTAACATGAGGCATCCATATACAAAGTATGAAGCATCCAGACCTTCCACCTTCTAAAATATAAAGCTTTTAAGAAGTTAGCTAACGCCGCAGCCGGATCACTATCCCTATGTCGAGCTTTCTGCAACAGTCGCAGGCTCGACAAAAAGGAGTTCTTAATTAAGTAATAAACTGATTCGCTGAACGCAGCTGGATACACCCACAGAGGTCCAACCCTGAACAGTTGGGGCAAAAATGGACACAATATTTAAGCTTGATACAGGTCTGAATTTGGATTGTAATTAAATATTTGACATATTATAGTTTCTGAATAAATGTTGTCAAAGAACTTGAAATCAGTTATATGAATTGAATTTACATTCAATTAAAGATTTCTTGCTGTTGTGCAATACACTGTGCTGTTGGGCAATACTTAATAAATCTGTTGCCAGACTATAAACAAATAAAGTTCAATTTCTTCTCAATGTCATATTTGAAATTTATGAAAATCAATAGGGAGATTACATCAATAGCTATAAATAATTCACCAAAGTTTCATGCGAACTGCTTAAAGCATTTTTGAGTTGTCCAAAAACTGGAAAATCCCCCCCCTTTTTAATGAATAAAACCCCATAACTCAGAAATGTAAAATCTAAAATTTATAAAATTCTAAAGGGAGCTTACGGATTGATAATTTAGTCTTAGATGCAAGATTTTTTTATCAGTTGTTTGTGGCTTTGAACTAGCTGTCAGTAAATGCGAGTACTCTCAGATCTGTACTTAAGTGTCTTTTTGTTGTTTGGATGTACAACTACCCGGCCACTTCCACTTGTATTTGTATTTATCCATCTGATGAGTTAAGCCTCTTTCAACCGATTTTTATAGTTCGCTCTTATATTGTACTGTTACACCACTGTCCCAGGTAAGGGGGTGGGTTGGGATCCCGCGAACATGTTTAACCCCGCCACATTCTGTATGTACATGTATGTGCCTGTCCGAAGTCAGGAGCCTATAATTCAGTGGTTGTCGTTTGTTTATGTGTTGCATATTTGTTATTCGTTCATTTTTTGTACATAAATTAGGCCGTTAGTTTTCTTGTTTGAATTGTTTTACATTGTCATTTCGGGGCCTTTTATAGCTCACTGTGCGGTATGTGCTTTGCTCATTGTTGAAGGCCGTACTGTGACCTATAGCTGTTAATTTCTGTGTCATTTGGTCTCTTGTGGAGAGTTGTCTCATTGGCAATCATACCACATCTTCTTTTTTATATTTACATCAACAGATATAAACAATTCACCAAAGTCAAGGTGAGACAACAAAACTTAGTTGTAAGATCTCTGAAATTTTTTACACGGTACAAGTTTTTCTAATTGTTGGAGATTGTACGTTGACAGTAACACCTGTAACTGCTTTACCCATTTCTTATGCACTTTGGTTCGATAAACTCACTGAATATCATACCACATCTCCTTATTTTTATATGCATTACAATTTACATGTGCATGTAATTGTAAATAATATTTATATATATATATCAGAACAAACTTCATTGCGTCACTTTTATTTATACATCCTTTGGCACAAGTTCTAAAATTACACAACATAAAACAACTAAATGATATTTCAGATGAAAGTTTTGTTTCAGTTCCATTCATAGGATTTATTAGAATTTTGTATGTTTTGCCAAGTCCAATAATTAGCTCTATATGCACGTGTTAATTGGAGACTTTTCTATCCCGTACAAGAGTTTTGGAACTAATTCTGTTTCTTTTTTTGAAAAAAGTGAGCAAACAAATCTTGCACATTTAAACCTTTGTCTGCCATCACACTGTCACCTGGATCACATAATTGAACTATTCTACATCTTTCAACTATTTCACAGTCACTGGTACAACCAACATATGCATTAGAGACATAGTTGACTAAACCACCAGGTGTCCAACATACAAGTATTTTCAGTGTTTCTGTTTTTATATGATGAAAAGGTTGCCTGAGCTTTAGGAGCTTTAGGTTTTATCACGGGATATTCTGTGCTGTCAATAATAATCCAAGTTGTAGGAAACTTTAATTCTAAGTTGGATGGCGAAAAATACCTGACTAAACCACTAAATGGCCAAGCGTTAGCCTCACGCCACTGTTTAGACATAAAAACAATCCATGTTTACACAATATTCTTAACACTAGTTTCAATCTAGAATCTAGACAGTTCAAAGTTGGTTGTATAATGCATCAATTTCATCAAAGTCATAAAAAAACTGATTTTCAAATGACACCCTATCAATTTGAAAATATATGTATCTCAAACAATGTGCTGTTGGACCAAGTGTGGTCAAAACAAATAAAAATTTAGTATACAACTCTAAACCGGTATAAAAATGCATGGCTGTGTCACGTGTCTTCATTTCAAAATTCTCTGCTGAAAATATAGGCATTGATGGTGTTTGCGTAATTCCATCTGTGAAGCTCAACATTAGCTCGGCAGTTGGTGGTGGACAGTCATAAATCCTGTCTGCAGTATGAATTACCTCTTCAGGAAAACCAACTTTACAATCAAAACTTTCCTCTAGATTTCTACTACAATATTCATCAAGTTTAGTTCTTTTGTTTTCACAGGAATCTGCCCCGATTTTTCTTTTTGCGGACGATTCAGTCTCTTGCTTGGTCCAGGAAAATAGGCTGGGATTGGCAGTAGACTTTAGTCTCTGTATGGTGGGTTTGTGCCCTGAAAAAGGTTATAAAACATTAGTTTTTTGATAATTAAATGAACTTCCATTAGCAATGCATACTTTGTACAGAAGCAAGTTAACTTGTACCATTGTAAACTCGTACCACGTAATCTCGTACCAACGTAAACTCGTACCAATCAGAACTCTTACCACTGCAAAATCGTACCATTAAAAATATATTCAAAAATACGAAAGTTTTATGATTTTTTTTTTGGTAAACTAAATAAAAAAAGTTGAATTACTTGAATTTTATACTATATTTTAATGAAAACTTAGACAAAAATACGAATGTTTTATGATTATTTTTTTTTTTAAGCTTTATACAAAAAATTAAAATATCTTTGAAATTTATACCAGATTTTAATGAAAACTTAGACAAAAATACAAATGTAATTTCTTAATTACCATGCTAATAAATATATTAAATTCCTTTGATTGTGTGATTATTGGTTGATTATTAACTAATCAACTTGTTTTTTTTTCTTTTTAACTAATCAACTTGTATAATCATATAAGCATGGTCATATTCTGCTGAAATGTGCTGAATATTGTATAAAAATAAATTTCATACTTTCTAACTGTTGGTCATAAACAATTTTAAACCTTTAAAACACAATCAATAAATTCTTTCATTAAATAAAATTCCTTTTAGAAACAATAGAAAAATACCCAAATCTATTCAATGTTACTGATTTGGAATGATTAAAAATTAAATCAAATAGTTGTCAGTAAAAGTTTAAAAAAGAGTCTATTCAAGGGAGACAACAAAGCCAATCTGCCACGGTTTTCTCTATCCAATTAGACAAGGAAAAATAGCTACAAATTGGTTATTGTAATTTCAAATTATATACATTTTACAGACTTAAGAGGTATTGAGTGAAATTGAAGTATATATTCATCATTAAACACCGTTTGAATGCATTTAAATAAGTTGGTACGAGTTTACAATGGTATGAATTTACCGTGGTACGAGTTAGCAGTGGTACGAGTTTGCATTGGAACGAGTTTTTGTTTAGTGGTACGAGTTGACATTGGTACGAGTTACAATGGTACGAGATAACTATAATTCCTTTGTACTCGTAACCTGGCAAAATATAAACTAGATTTATTCATTACAATCTGGATAAAACTATGTTAGCCTGATTCAATGTACATCAAAATGTATGTTATGTAAATCCAAAGGACTAACAATGAGAGACGTATGCAACAAACATACATTGTTTGTACCTAAATAACTATAATATAGATGAGAGCATGTCATTGTTTTGTTCCTGTTAACATTGTCATTGATATTTTTCAAGAAAGTCTATGAGGCATAGCTTATGCATTCCTGTCATTACTACATAAGCATAATTACTGCTAAAATAATTCTCAGTATGATATACCTCTTGTAAGAAATCATTATAATTGTAGCAAGCACCAAAAAATCTCAAACAGATCACATTGAATCGTAATCCAAAAAATTATGACGTCTTGAATTAACCACCCCCTTTTATTCTAAAACGATAATTGGCAAATTGCGGTTGTAAACTGACTTTGGTTTATTCGCATGGCGATTACATATATAACTATATATTTCACAAAGAAAATAGAGTTTTACCATGAATAGTTTCCTGCACGTAGTCTTTTTCAGTAAAACGTGCCTTGCAAACAACAGCTGATTGAGATGGACTCCACGATATCATCGTGTTCTCGTCCAATCTGCGTATGGGCAATGGCGTTGATCCAACTTTTCCTTATTTTTAAGTCATTTTGAAATGCATGTCCTCCTCTTAAATGACATCCAGGTACACAACAACAAGTACTTGGCATCGTTAATTAAAAATATAACTGAAATAGTTGCACTGTGCAGAAACCGGAAGTTGAGGAACAGGATCCGCTACCACGGCGCCACCTATTCAGGAACGATAATTTGCTACTTTATATAACTGCGAAATAACAATAACGTTAGATGGGTTCACGTGCATAAACAGAAATGCGCTATAAATTGTATAATATAATTCATGTTCAGTCGACCTTTAATTATTATATCAACGACTGAAATGATTTATAAACATCTAGATTGCAGATAGCACTCGAAATTAACCCGAGCTCTTTCCCACGGAATTCAAATAATTCTAGTTTGTCAATCGGTTGACTGCTTATAATGCAAAATACTTATATATCAAAAGTTTTTAAAACTAACAAAACACAATGATCGTTTCTCTATTTCCCAATGTAAATGAAATGAGACAAAAAACATTTTATACCACAATAAGAAGAGGAGAGAATCAACATTTTCCGGATCTACTTGGAGCTAAATGACCCCCCACGTAGATAAGTTGGATATCGCGGAAAGAAATATTAACACGGCAACTAGAAAGGCATTAAAGCACTGCCTTTAAAAACAAGTTAAGTTATCAAAACATGGTAAATGGTTTTTATCATACAATGCTTGTACTAAAAAAAAAAGTTAAGTTATGAGAACATGGTAAATGGTTTTTATCATACAATGCTTGTACTGAAAAAAAAGTTAAGTTATGAGAACATGGTGAATGGCTTTTAAAATACAATGCTTGTACTGAAAAAAAAGTTAAGTTATCAGAACATAGTGAATGGTTTTTATCATACAATGCTTGTACTAAAAAAAACAAAGTTAAGTTATCAGAACATGGTGAATGGCTTTTATCATACAATGCTTGTACTGAAAAAAAAAACAAAGTTAAGTTATCAGAACATGGTGAAAGGCTTTTATCATACAATGCTTGTACTGAAAAAAAAGTTACGTTATGAGAACATGGTGAATGGCTTTTATCATACAATGCTTGTACTGAAAAAAAAAGTTAAGTTATGAGAACATGGTGAATGGCTTTTAAAATACAATGCTTGTACTGAAAAAAAACAAAGTTAAGTTATGAGAACATGGTGAATGGCTTTTATCATACAATGCTTGTACTGAAAAAAAAAGTTAAGTTATGAGAACATAAGTAAATTGCATTTTTCATACAATATTTGTACTGAGAAAAACAAATTTTATAAATATAAAAAATATTGTCAGGGATTGTGTTCAGGTAGTATTCATGAAAATACATGTAAATGTAGTGATTCACATTGTGGAGTATGAATACTTTGTTAATTCTGATCTTGATTTAAACCTGAGACTTTAATCTACAAATATTTTCCTTCGATTTGTTATGTGAAAGTCTGACAGTCAGACACTTAAAAAAACATATTCCATTCATGTTACTGATCTAATCCTTAGCTTTTCTGAAAAAAAATCAACATTCACTAATAAAAGTATTTATATACATGTAGTATTGTAAATGGTATGTACACTATACTACAATGTAGTATTTGTACTATCCAAGTGTGTAAAACACTTTTTTCGTCTTAAGCTAGAGTGTACATGCTGAAATATCTCACCTGTTTTACTGTCCATTGATTTTATGTTGCAAGTCTTAAAGATAAAGGTTTTACTACAAATATCACATAAACTTAAAATTTTTAAAGATCCATTACAATGAGGTCAATGTCATATAAATCCTGTCAGACAGACATGTACACCTTACAATATTCCATACACCAAATATGGTTGACCTATTGCTTATATTAATTGATAAACAGACCAAAACACAAAGACTTAACATTGACCAATGAACAATGAAATGAGATCAAGGTAAATGAACCCGGTCAGACAGACATGTACACTTTACAATCATTCCATACACCAAATATAGTTGACCTGCTGCTTATAGTCATGATAGTATTTGAAAAACAGACCAAAACACACAAATTTAACATTGACCAATGAACCATAAAAATGAGGTCAAGGTCAGATGCAACCTGCCAGTCTGACATGTATCTCTAACAATCATTCCATAAACCACATATACATGTACATGTATGTAGTTGACCTACTGCTTTTAGTATCTGAGAAACGGACCTAATCACCTAACTTTGACCTTGAACTATAATATAATGAGGTCAAGGTCAGGTGAACTCTGCCTGACGAACATGTAGACATTGCAAGGAACACATATACCAAATACAGTTATTCTATTACTCATAATAAGTAAGAAATTCACATGACAAAAAAAATCTCAATTTTTTTTTTCAAGCAGTCACTGAACCATGAAAAAGAGGTCAAGAACAATTGACATATGACAGACAGAAACTTTGTTACATAAGGTATCTGCATACAAGATTTGAAGCATCAAGGTCTTCTACCCTCTGAAATATAAAGCTTTGTAGAAATAGTTTACAGCGCCACGGCCACCGGATAGTAATCCCTATGTCTCGCATACTGCGACTTTCGTCGCCGGTGAGACAAATCAACTCAACATAACTTTATGTTTGTGTATTGTGTATATATAGGAGCCAATATATACATATACTTACAAATAGGATATCCTAAGGCAAAGTCATTACTTTGTGTACAGAAAATGGCAAACAATCCAGCATATCCATAATTTACTGGTCGCTTGGCAACTAATGTTACAATTGTAACAATTATGAATACAACAGATTTTGAGATCAACACACTTGTCAAAAACATCCAGTTAACAATGGAAAAATCCAAAATGCACATATTCTTGAATAGCAGAGCAGGAAGACAAAATTTTGAGACAAAAGTTCCAATTCCTTTTCCTTGTGTGGTAGAGATAATATTAGCTCGGCCAGCAATGTAACCGAAGAGAATGACGGCAAAACATTGGACGATGGCAGGATACAAGTTGTCAAAGTTAACTGTTGTACCACTATCTGTATGGGTGTCATTATGTACACTGTGTGGAGATGATGTAGAATGATTTGTATCCATTCTTTACGTTGATACACCAATATTAATGTAAAGCTTGTGATTCTAGATGCAACAAGTTTCCCATAACTCTGTTCCCATGAAGCCTTTAATTACCACTGTGGCTATAAACATGCTGACTTTCATTCTGAAATGAAGAAGATACATATCTCTGTTACATACACTGACAATTTATATGAAAATAATTTTGTTTTGCGAGTTTTTTCGTCAACAAACCCCATAATCTTTGATTTAATCATCAAGTTACAATGAAACAAAACTGTGTATATTAGAATAAGTATATATACACATAGTTTGTTTGTTAACGTCTGGACAAAGAAAATATTTATTTGTTTAATTTATTTAATAACGAAGTAAAAAAATTGACCCAAAAACTGGTATCCTCATGTACAATGTTATTTTGTGAATGTACATGTAGTCAATGAGATAGTATATAAATACATGGAGGTGCATTGTCATAATTGGTTTGGAGGTGAATTGTCATACTTGGTTTTAGTGCATCTATTTCTTATTGGTGGAGGAAGCCAAAGTGCCTTGAGAGAACAACAGACCTTCTTTAGGAAAACTGGCAATCCTAGTAAATAAAGATTGGATATGAATGCAACGGCCACTTGCTGGGTTCCAAGGCTAACTCACAACCTCAGTGTTGACCGGCTAAATATATAGTAGATGAACTACTAGGATAAACTCGGCCACCGCTGTCCCCGTTATTATAGAAACTGTCTTTTTTGTTTTTACCCAAATTGTATTTTATTGAGGACTAGTGTGGTGTGTTGTAGTCTTAGAAACTCTCTGTTGGTTTTTCAGTCATATTTATGAATCAGCTTCAATACCTTCATTGTCTGCATGTGATGAGGAAAGGATACAGGAAAATTGGTTTGTTAAGCAAATTCCATTGGTACAAGTTGGAATCCAACTCTCAATCTCTGGATCTAAACGATACAAGACATTATGGCCATAATGCCAGTTCGGCTATGGTTGTTTTGGCCATACTTTGCAATGTCTTTTCAGCCATGGTTATTTTTTTTTTATAAAGGGAGAAAAAATTTATTGTTCCTACAAACAGATGTAAAGATACATTTTAATCAAAGAATCAGAGTTTCTGCTGGCGTTAGCCAATTTTGCATTTTGAGAAAAAGAAAAATTGTGGAGATAAAAAATCAAGACTGGCGAAAGAATTTGGCGAAAGAAATATAACAGATCCACTTTGTCCATCTTGTTAAATTTTGTTCAGATTTCTCAGACTTTTTTCCTGATCAGACAATACTTGGATTTCACCTTCAACTTGTCACACATATTGATTTTGACAGAAAAATCAATAATCAGCTTTTGATAGCAATCCACAACAATGGACTAATTAATAAAGGTGTTAATTGTAATTAATCAAAATGTGTGGTAAAATAGCGTCACTTGTCAACCAAAGGATTGTTGTTACAACTTTGATAAATATTACTGTTTTGAAGTTTGTAATTCACAATCGTTTCAGTGGCGTACCTGTTTTAAGCATATTTCTACGTCTCAACTTTTACTTTTAAAGATGGGTCCGGAAAATGAAAAAAGAAAGGGTTCAAAAGTAAGAAAAAATTCTGTCCTTTTAGACAGAAAATATCCAATAAGCTGATTGAGAAGTCAATTTTTACAGTATCTTTTAAAACATACTATAAGAAATTTTGTTCCAATTGAGTGTTCAATTTTTACAATGTAGATTAGAGAAATTGAATAGATATGTATAATTATAATGAATGAGACAACAATGCTGCAAGCAGATTTTTTTTCTGTTGGCGAAAAAAGATTGATAGTGGCACAAAAAAATATTGCTTTGGCGAAAGAGGTGGCAAAAAAATATTTGACCCAGGGGAAACCCTGCATGGAATTATATTGATTGTTAAGAATTTGTATAAATTTATGTATGTTATGAGAATATTCATAAAAGGGGGATTATTCATATCAATAAAACTTAAAAGTTCTTTCTTTTAAATGTCAAACAAGATATGATAATTATTAAAAAAGTAAAGAAGATTGTTAATTAAGTCCTCATCATAATGATCCATTAATCTGATCATTTGATAATTGCTAATCATCATTTCTTTGCTACATGTATATCTGAAGTATTAAATTAATATATATACTGATCACTATATAGTATAATGGCACTCAAACTAAAACATAAATTATTGACGGGACTTGACACTCGCCAGTCCGCAGTCAGACCCAACTTCATTGTAAATTATTGCTAATTGACGATATGTTAGAGAATGAGAGATGTGTAAAAATAGTTATACTTATGTTCTTTATGGAAGAACTATTAAATAATTGATTTTAAAAATATTTTTTTCAAATGGGTCTACTATTAAAAAGTATTTTTGTCCACGAATGACATGTTGTTTTTCTCTATTCTCTGTTATAAAAAATATGTAACTCATATAAATGAATTTATATATGTATATTGGTACTAGCCAAAGTCAAAGGGAAATGTTATTAACTTATAAGTGAACTGTAACGTAAGAATGTCATGTGTCCTTCTATCACATCTGATGCACACCTTATGACAAAATGACTTTTTGTTAAATAATATTCATTTACAGAACAAAATTCTGTCTCAATATGTAATCGTATATATATGAAAAGAACATTATAAAATAGTGTGGATGAATCAATTTGGTTGAACTGGTACTGTGGCTGAAACATCTCAAAAGGGATCTGAAGGCAGAGCTCTAATAGAAGATCTTCTGAAACTAAATCAGTTTGGTTTCATGTACCCTTTATTTTTGTAGTTATACAACATACATATTTAACCCTGCCACATTCTGTATGTGCCTTTTCCAAGTCAGGAGCCTGTAATTCAGTGGTTGTCGTTTGTTGCTATATATCATATTTGTTTTTCGTTCATTATTTTGTACATTAATCAGGCCTTTAGTCATGTTAGTTTTCTTGTTTGAATAGTTTTACATTTGTCATTTCAGGGCCTTTTATACTGACTATGCAGTATGGGCTTTGCTCATTGTTGAAGGCCGTACAGTGACCTATAGTTGTTAATTTCGATGTCATTTGGTCTCTTGTGGAGAGTTTGTTTCATAGGCAATCATACCACATCTTATTTAGTAATCGTTGGACACATAGTAAATTAAAGATTATTGTTTCGTGCTCTGGTAACCATAAAGCTGAACATTTTTCATAAAAAAACAAATACTATTCTTATGTAACCGACCGCATTGTCTTTTAAATATTAATTTGCGCGTTGACTGACACCTGCTGTTTGTTTATACGTTTATCGCTGACACTTTGCACACCATTTCGAAGTTAACACCAATACAGAGGATCTTCCACTTTACAACAACAGATTTCAGAAATAACATGTTTACCTACTAAAATAGTTGTTATCAAGTATAAGTGTTCTAACATATTTTACATAACCGAATGTTGTTATTTTTTTTAGGAAGTTCATGTAAGGGAGGTAATTCTTTTTCTTCTTTTTCTGTATATTAAACTCCAGTAGATTGGAGCACTTCACCTCAGTAAAATTTTTATGAAAGTTCATTAAAATGTAAGCTAAAAGATACTAAACTCTGAAGTGCCTTTCTCCTCATGTACAGTTAATATACATATTTTCTCCTCCACATAAGACAGGAAAAAGAGGTACAAGATAAAGTTGGGACATAATTTGTTAGTATATATATAAACTTGAAACTTTTGAAACTTTGAAACTTTTTATTTCACTAAAGGCCTCACATGAGGCATGATAGTACAAACAATACAATATAACAAATATAATGCATGAACAAAATTAAACATATATACATATGTACAAAATTACCCAGGAAGGTAAATATCACTTAAATATTGACATGTTACAATTTTACAATCCAACAAGAGTGAATTTATCATTACTATTCACTAGTTGATAGAAACTATCAACATTTTTTACTTTACATATCTCTGCAGGTAAAAACTTTTATCTCTCAACGTTGAAAAAATTGCAGTTAAATATATAGTGAAATTAATCACCCAATTCTTCTTTATTACATAAACTCACAAACGGCTCTTTCTGACCTATCTATACTAAAAAATCTACCACATTCAATGGGTAATCTATGACTGCCACATCTAAATTTACATAAGTTGTGTCTTAAATCAAAAGGTAATACAGTTAAATAATTTCCTTACCAAATTTGGCCTTTTACATTCTGTAATTTAAACATTTAGATGAATTGAATATTTTTGTCTTCCAATCATTTACAAATAAATCATGGTAATACTGTTTCACATTTTTAGATAAATTACAATACTTTCCAACAAATTGATTATTCCAAGCATCAACATTACCACATTCAATTAAAATATCTTTTACATAATTTAACCATTTAGAATGATAAACATCACCATAGTCGAGTCTATACAACATTTCGTACAGTGTATATTCTCTTTTTTACCTGTAACAATACGTTCCCAAAAAAAACCAATCATTCTTGCTTTAATTCGTCCAGACATAGGTACTCTACCAAGTTCATCATATACAATGCAATTAGGTGTACATTTTTTAACTTTCATAATATATTTACAAAATTCTAAATGCAGAGATTCAACAATATCATTGTTTTCATATCCCCAAACCTCAGCACCATATAACAGAATAGGTTCAAACAATTGTAGTAAAATATCTATTGGTAAGAACAATTTTCTTGCTTTACGCAATACAAAAATACAAAAAACATAGCTTTTCTGGCTTGTTGACCAATCTAGACCCGTTACTATGAAAATTACCCCTTCTAGAAAATATTATGCCAAGATATTGGAATTCATCGATAACAGATACACGTTCATTATTGTACATAAAATTAGCCTTTTGATACTCATTAAATTGCATTTTCAAAGTCTTTTTATACTCTTTGCTTTGTCCTATATGCAATCAAATCGCTCTTAACGAAACCATCGAATGCAGTGATTGTGCACTCTGGGTCCATTTTGACTGTGCTGGAATTACTCGTCAATCCATCGAAATTCTCAATAACAACGATTATGTCTGTAATTTATGCTCAGAAAACCTCTTATACAGTGTAAACACAACTAGTGATCAAATATCAAAATCTAACCAAGAAATTGAAACTACCAACATTCCTCCAATAACCCAGCATTCCGATCATAGGGAGAAAGAATGTCATCCTGACAATGAGCGTATTAATCTTAATGGGGACTTAGATCATGAACTTACACATTTAAAACAACCATTTAACAATGCTGAAGCCAACTATAGCGCAATGACTGGTTACGACCAGCAAGAGTCTGGAAACGATACTCCTCTACCAAATACACAGGAAATTTACTGTAATACTGCACAGGATCATAATGAACCACAAACCTCATCTTTTAACCCTCCTTCCGATCAAACTACGTTAAACCCTGCAAAAAAGGGGAAGAAAAACAACATAAAAAGTCAAAAAAACAAGTCTGAAAACTGTGATGAGAGGGCATATATTTTGAAGCTTGAGAGCGAACTCAATAAATTAAAGTCAACAATTGAATTACAAAGGAAGACAAATGATCACATTGCTAACAACTCTAACAATCAGTTTGATAGTAACCAAACAATTGATCAAACTCTTCATTCTCCCCAGATCAACAACCTTCAACAAAATTTAAACACGCAACTAGGTAATCTTGAAGGGCAGATAACAGAGCAACGCTTTAGAACAATTGAATTTCAATTAATGCAAAATATGACCATGAATTCAATTATCATAAATCAACAGACACAAATGCTTATGCAACAACAACAAATGCTCCAATCAGCAACAAACCATCCTTACAGTCACTCTCCCACTATGCTTCATCCAAGGTTTACTGTTCCAACGTCTGCTTATATTCCTCAGATGAACATGTATCCAAACAGTATGCCTCCTATTCCTCCGCCAGCGTATTATCTGCAGACTCAGCAACAAAATCTCGCACATTCTAGAAGCCCTCACATGACGCCTCCTATTCCACCACCTGCGTACTACATGCAAACTCAGCATCAAAACCTTGCTCATTCTGGAAGCCCATACATGACGCCTCCTTTTCAAACAATTCCACCTACTGCACATCTGCATCAAGCACAGAGTGGTCAAATGGCATTCTCTCAACAACAAAGAGCACAACCAAATAGTTCAAACAACATGGCTACGCACATTCCAAAATCCAGTGTAGTACCTCCCTCTGAGAACATACAACCTAGCTACCGACCAAATGCCAATACTTATAAACGACAAAGTAATGGGACATACACCTCTAGGAGGTCAAACTCTTTAAACTCTAGACATACAAAGAGTTCTGAGAAAGAATTGCCGTTCGCCTCATATAAAAAAAATGGCAAAACAAATGTGAGACATCACTCAACTTTTGTGTCTCCAGCGGATATAGGAGACACCTGTCCTTCAACTGCAGAAAACACTCCATCTCAAGACCAATGTACCAATCTTCTTCCTAAACCTTCAATCCATAACGAAGAGCGATCGACGTCAAACAACGGAGAATCTGAGAAATATCCTTTTCTACACAAGCCAGATTCAAAGCCTCCTCCAGACAAGGAAAAAGAAGTAGTCGACACGCAAATGACATAACAGAAAGGCAGTCACAGAACCTTCCCATAAATATATTGTCTTGCAACATGGAAGGAAAAGGGAATTCTCTATTTTTATCAAGTCTTGAAAAAACGTCGGACATCATTTGCATACAAGAACATTGGCTATACGAATGTCAAAAACAATCTTTAGGGGAAATACTTCCAAATATGGATTATGCTATACGATGTACTGACACCTACGACAACATCCACAACTTTAATTTGCCAAGAGGAAAAGGTGGAGTTGCAATTGCCTGGAAAAAACACTTATCGCATAAGATAAAAGAAATCAACGAGGGAAATGAAAGAATTATAGCTGTAGAGATTACTTCTCCTTGCAACATCTGCATTATCGGTGCATATATGCCATCTAATAATTCTAAAGACTCGCATATTGAATATATGGAATGCCTGGATATTATAAACTCTATTATCTCAACATATTCTGAATCTCACCAAATTCTATTGTTATGTGATCTAAATGGAACATTATTGTCACCCCGAAAAAGCAACAAGCACGACAAGCTCTTGCAATCTTTTATTAAGGAAATGAAGCTCAACGTATATCCATCAGACAAGGAAACCTTTTTCCACCACGCTTGGGACGCTACATCTCAAATCGATTACATTCTTGACAACTCTACTGAAGGATCACTTTGCAACTACATAATCCACGACAGATGTATGGAAAACATCTCTAGCCATGTTCCGGTTTCAGCAACTTTCACAGTGGTATTTGAGCAAGATAAACAGTATACTAACCAGAAGAAGTCAGTAACTCAAAAACCAGTTTGGAACAAAATCGATCTAGAAAATTTTCAAAACATTATAGAAGTTAAAATAAATAATTACCAACAACTCTCTAACTCATCTGAAAAAGATGTGGTCTTTTTATGTGAAACTTTAATACAAGCTGCAACATCTGCTGTACCATCTAAAAAATTGAAATTATCCGGACCTAAAAGGAGAGGCTCCCAAGAAGTAATCAACCTTTTGAAAACCGCAAAGGAGAAACACTGGCTATGGAAACAAAATGGAAGTAAAGATGACTCTTTAAAATCAGATAAAATCATCGCTCAAAGAAACTTGCGACGCCAAATGCGTAGGGAGCAATATACAGAAAAAGAAAACTTTTATAAAGAGCTGATGGATAACCCGGATTCAGAAAAATTTCATAGATTAATTAGAATGAATAGGGCAAACCGCAATAGCCAAGCTTCATATATCTCTTCCAACAATCAAAATTTATACAATACAGATGAGCAAACCAGATGTTTTGCACAGTACTTTGAAGACTTGACCATCCCTAAGGACAACAATTATGATAATGATTTTCAGGAACTCTGTAATGTGCGCCACTCACTCATACAGCAATACGAGGAACAATCCTGCTCTGAACCTCTGGACATCACGTCAGATGTGATAGCTACAGCGATAAAAAAAACTCAATTGTAGAAAAGCTGCCGATGAATTTGGAATCTCATCTGAACATCTTAAAAATTCTCCGTACTCTGTTACAACGTTTCTCACAAACCTATTTGGAAAAATTCTGAAAGAACGAAAAGTCCCTGGCAATCTCAAATCTGGAATTCTTACACCAGTATTGAAAAATGGAAAAGAAGCATCTATTATGGACAATTACAGAGGCATTACAGTGACGCCTATTATCTCCAAGCTCTTTGAAAGTTCCATCCTCCCAGGTCTTTCCAAAATCTTCTTGCTTTCTACTCTCCAATTTGGCTTTACAGAGGGACTTTGCATGCTAATGGCCGCTTTTATCATCAATGAAGCGCGAGCTGAATCCAAACATATAACATTAGATTCATTATTTCTCAT